TAATTTACTTTTGTGTTGCTAATGTGTTGTTTTTTTCTTTTATTTAACCAAAAAAAAAAAAAAACAAAAACGAGAGAAAAAAACCGTTAATGTGTTAAAAAAAGGAAAATTGGTAAGGGACGCGTTAAAAAAATTACCACTTACCACGCGGCAGAGTCAATTTGAAAAAAAAAGAACGCTTTTTTTAACGGTTTTTTTTTTTCAAACATTATTATAATAAACCACAGAATTATATTAACCACATCAAAAATAAGTTGAAATATACAACGACAAAGTGACGTAAAAGAGAAAGAATAATAATAATGATGATGATGATAAAGGTAAATAATATAAAAGTTTTTTTTTTTTTTATACTTAAAGAGAAAATGTCAAGTGACACACACACACACACGACGTCCGACATTTTGTTTTTTTTTTTTAATTACGGTAGCCTTTTGAAAATTTTTACGCGTTTTTTTTTCCCCGTAAACGGATATTATGTAAAAAAAAAAAACGTCGATTAACACAATGAGAAAATATATAAAATAAAATTTAAAAAATTTTGTACGTTATCCCCGCGACCGCCCCCCCCCCCCACAGCCCCTCTCGCCCCCGCCCCCCCCTCAAAACTAGGGAAAAGGGTAGGAAAATGCGAAAGGGAAAACGAAAAATGATAATAATAATAATAATAATAATAATAATGAAAATGTTAATTATAATTAAAAAGACTTTTTCTTTTTTGTTTAATTAAATTTATACAAATTTTGATTAAAAAAAAAAAAAAAAAATTTTCCGTTAATTTTACGTAAGCCTCGTGTATAGGACGATTTAAATTCTTCTTACGAATTTTTTTTTTTTTTTTTTTTGAATATTTAATTAAAATTAGCAGACGACAAAAAAAAAATTTTCAAAATTTTGGCGATAGGGAATGTGTGGGGAGAAAATATTATTATTATTATTATTATTATTATTATTTTTAACATTATAACAAAACATATGAAAATAATAATAATAATGATAAACAAAAAAAAAAAAAAACTTTTTCCAAACAATCTAATTAATCCGTAGTAATAATAATAATAATAATAATAATTTTTTCTTTTCATTTTAATTAAAAGCTTTCAAAACCTTTTTTTTTCGTGTAAAAAAAAAACCTTTTTTGGGGAGGGGGAGGGGGAAGGAGGGAACCGAACCGAAATTTTCGAAACATTTTTTAAAAAAAAAAAAAATTTTTTTTTCTTGTGACGTCATTAAAATTAAATTTTCTCTCTTCCTTCTCTCTCTCTCTTTCTCTTTTACTCCTACTTTTCCTTATCATCCTTTCCAACTTTTCTCTTTTTTTTTCCGACCGTTTCCCTTCGTTCCTTTTTTTTCCTTTTTTTCCTTTTTTCCATTTTCTTGTTCGTTTTTTTTTTTTTTACTCTTCACCTTTTCTCTCCTCTCTCTCTCTCTCTCTCTTCTCTCTCTCTCTCTCTCTCTCTCTCTCTCTCTCTCTGTCTCTCTCTGTCTCTCTCTCTGTCTTTCAGTCTTTTTCTCTGTCTTTCTCTTTGAGCCTTAATTTTTTTTTTTTTTCATTCCAATTTAAATTTTATGTGCGTGTATACGAATGGGAAAAGGGGGAGGCGGAAGGGGAGGAAAAAGGGGGGAAAGGGGGAAAAAAAGGGGAGTGAGGTCAAAATAATTTTATTTAATAAAAGGTCAATAATTTGAATAAAATAAAATAAAAATTAAATTATTCAACTTTACTTTATTTTTCTTCTTTTTTTTTTTTTTTTTTCTATAAAGTTTTCTTCTTCTTTCCTCTTTTTTTTTTTTCTTATTTTTCTTATTCCACGACTTTTTTCTTCTTTTTTTTGTTTTTCTCTTTTCCTTTCATTTTTTTTTTCTTTTTTTTTATTGTTCGAATAATAATAATTTTAACTTTTCTTTTTCTTTTTTTTTACATTTCAATTTGTTAACTTCCGGAAAGTTTTTTATTATTATTTTTCTTTCCTTTAACATTCAAATTTTTTTGTTTTCTTATTATTATTATTATTATTACTGCTTTCAGAGCTTTCAATTTACGCTTTCACTCTTTTTACATTTAATTCAATAATAATAATAATGATAATAATAAAAGAGTCAAAGTGTCAAAAAAAACAAACGAACAAACAAAATAATCTCATAACCGTTTTTTGTTTGAATGCGTAATTCGTTAAGTAAAAATTTATATACAATTTGGCAACGCTGTATAGAGAAAAAAAGGGTTTATAAATTCATAAATAAAAATTATTATTATTATTATTAATCAACTTATTTATTTATTTATTTTTTTAAATCGAATATAAATGTTTTTTTTTTTTTTTTATTACTCGTTCCTTTTTCGTAAAAGGTAATTAATTAATTAATTAATTGGCACAAGATTAAAATTCCTTTGTGTGTATATTTTTTTTATTTAAAAAGGTAAAAAAAAAAAACCTTTGAATTTTTTTACCTTTCATTATTATCATTATTATTAATTAACATAGAACGCGATACGGACGGGGTGGGAGGGGAGAATTTTTTTTTCCCCTTTGAAGGAATACATAAGTAAATAAATAAATAAATAAATATTTAACGTTAATTTATAACAACGCCAAACGAGCGAGAGAGAGAGTAATAATAATAATAATAATAATAATAATACTAATGTAATCGGAGGTGATGGTGATAATAATAATAATAATAATAAATGATAACTATCGAAATGAAAGGTAGATTGCGAATGATTCATCATCATTATTATTACTATTTATTTATTCATCTGTTTGTTTGTTCGTTTGTTTGTTTGTGTTAATTTGTCTACGGTTGTCTATTTTCTTTGAATATTTCGATGGTTGTTGATGAGATTTTATTTTAATTATCATCTTAGTCTTTTTCCGGAGGGAGGGGCGTTCGCGGGAGAACAACCACAAACATTTCAACCTCAAACTCTACCTAAGCCAGAACCGTTAGGTCCACACTCGCGAGGATGGGAATCCCAGCCACCTGAGGAAGATTCCTCTACTTCCTCTTTTTACCCTTCGAGAAACAGTCCCGAACTGCCTGTTCCTGCCTCTTCCGCCGAGTCTGCGAGTTTCCGGAGTGAGATATCCGGGGTCGCGAATCCCTTAATCGCTCATCTGTCTTCCTTTCACATCTCACCTCTCGGATCAAGTACCCAGTTTCACCTCCTCGAACAAGGGTCGGCGCATCCTCAGTGCCTCGAAAGGGTTCTAGGTCATTTATCCTCTTACGCGGGTACTTGTTTGAATGAGCTGAAATTGAATTCCCACTCCCAAGATTCACAAGAATCCCATAATCCCTGCCCCCTTAAAACATCCTCCAACCTAGCCTCCGAGCAGTTGAATTACAGGAGTACACCCCCACTCCCGGCAAATTTGTCGTCTGCCGCCACGTTTTTTTTAAATTTATTTTTTGAATTTTGAGTTTCCCTTTTGGTTTTTGAGAGTAAAATTTTGTTTAAAATTAAAAGAAATTTCGAGCTAACAAACACGTGCACGCACACACACACACACACGCACACGCAAAATTTTAATAAATAAAAAAAAAATTTTTTCGTTTTTTTTTTTTTCGGTGGCTTTCTTCCGTCACGTTTCAGATTATAAAACAAAAATTATTATTATTATTATTTTTTTTTTTTTTTGTTGACATGCTGGTACGCAGGGCATAAAATTATTTAATTAATATTAAAAGAACAAATTAAAATAATTTAAACGTGTCACGAAAAAAATTGTTTTTTTTTTTTAGTTATAAACAATATGACGTTTTACACATTAAAAACCCTTAAAATTCGCTTTGGGATTAAAAAAAAAAAAAATTTTTTTTGTTTTTTTTTTTGTTTGTTTAACGGTCGCGACCCCCGTGTCAGAAGAGTCGACAGTCGCATTTATTTTAATTACCGTTTAATATAACGACACGAAACTTTGTTTTTTTTTTTTTTTCCTTTCCGGTTTATTATTAATAAAAACCAAAGTTCCCTCGTGAGCGATAGAAAGAAAAAGACCGAAAAAAAAAAAAAAAAATTTTTTTTCTTTTTTTTTTTTATTAACATTTTCTTTAATGGACGCACGTTAAAATGACGGAATTAAAAAAAAAATAAACGTGGCACTAACAATATCAAAACGTGAAACGTTTAAACGACGGCAGGGAGAAAAAAAAATTATTTATCATTACGTCACTTACATAAAAACGATCTTTTCTCTCTCTCTCTTTCTCGTTTTCTCCTGACACGAAAATAATTGATTTCTTTAACTTTTTGATTTTCTTTTTTTTTTTTTTTTCGCGGTCGAAATTTAACCGAAAAAAAAAATTTTTTTTTTTTTTCCCCCCCCATTTCATTCAATTTTATTTTATTTTATTTTACTCCGAACGGAATCAATTTTCGAAAAAAAAAATAAACAGCAAAAAAAAAAAATAAAAATAAAAAATAAAATAAAATAAAAAATCTAAAATCCCGTGAGGCCAACTTTTGAAAAAAAAAAAAAAAAATTTTTTTAATCGAAATGAACACGATTTTTTTCCTTCTTTTCTTTTTCTTTTTTTTTTTTTTTTTTTTTTTTTAATTTAATTAAATAAAACAAACGAAAGACAACAACAACAACAACAACAAAAAATTTCCAATTTTTCACGTATTATCATTATTATTATTATTATTATTATTATTATTATTTGCTGTTATAATTTCTTAGTGTAAACAAAACAAATGACAAACGAACAAAACGAATTTCAATTTTATTTATTTAATAAATAATTATTATTATTATCATGAGAACGGTTACCAACATTGATCGCGTGACGTAATAATTACGTATGAATACGTAAACGAGTGATTGTGATGCGCGTTCGAAAACCGTTAATTACGAATTTTCGTATCGTACGTCGACGCGGTGGCGGCGGCGGCGGGTTCTTGTGTTTGCGTTTTTTAGTTTTCTTACTCTATGATTTTTTTTTTTCAAACGGGGTTACACTACACATATATGTATATTTTGTTTGTCATTTAGGTTATGGACATTCAACGCCCAACACGGTCGGTGGAAAATTGTTCACAATGTGTTATGCCATTGTTGGCATACCCTTAGGACTCGTCATGTTTCAAAGCATCGGAGAAAGAGTCAACAAATTATCTTCCGTCGTTATTCGTAACGTTAAAAAATTATTGAGGTGCAGAGATGTCGAAGCATCGGAAATTAATCTAATATGCGTTGTGACAACGCTTAGCAGTCTGACAATTGCCGGAGGAGCTGCTGCATTTAGTAGATACGAAGGTACGAATAATAATAATAATAATGTCTTTCTCTTTTCTCTTTAAAAATGTGTTTTTTTTTTTTTTTTTTCCCCATCAGGTTGGACATATTTCGATTCGGTCTACTATTGTTTCATAACACTTACGACGATCGGTTTCGGTGATATGGTTGCCCTACAAAAAGATCACGCGTTAGATGAAAAACCAGAATATGTGGTATTTGCCTTAATATTTATCCTTTTCGGTCTCGCAATTGTTGCGGCTTCGCTCAATTTATTAGTTCTACGCTTTGTCACAATGAATACAGAAGATGAAAGACGAGACGAAGCTGAAGCCTTGCAGGTAATAACAAAACAAAACAAGACAAACAAGACGAACAAACAACAAACGTTGATAATTTTTTTTTTTTTTTTTAAGGCGGCACAAGGAGCTGTTCGACTGGAAGGTGATGTTATCACTGCCAATGGGTCCATCATTAGCGGTCACATACCGGGAGAAACGAGTTCCGTCGAAGATGTGGCATCCGTTTGCAGTTGTAGCTGTTCCTGTTTGCCCCAAAAATCGAGAAGTCGATACAGATACACGGTTCGTATGCAAACGGAGAAAATGAATAAGTGGAACAAATCGTTATTTACGACTAACCGGAAACAGGAAACAAACAAACAAACAAACAAACAATTAATGAAATAACGTATTGTAAATTTGCCGTTCTTAACTAATATTATTATTATTTTCAGGTTCGTCGTTCTCCGGGGAAAATTGCCCACCTTCTGCCGTTGCAGACATTAGGAGGATCATTACAAGTGCACAGAGCGTCCATTTGACCAACGCTCTCGTCTTTGATTCCGCCATCATCGTATCAAGATATTATTTACGCGGATTTTTTAATGGGGCCAAACAACTTTAAAAGGCAGTCTGTTACGAATTTTCAAATAACGAGAACTTTTTCGGTTTGAATTATTTTTTTCTACTTCCCCACACCCCCCTCATCCCACCCCTTCTTCCCTTCTCTGTACTCCTCCACCACTCCCCTACCCTCCACCGATAACCTTCCCGAAAACGACGTTTATACTGATATAATAATAATAATAATACTAATAATTTGTATTAACCGAACGATTTTGCCTTTTTCTCAAAGCCAAAAGAATAATAATAATAATGATAACACGAAGAGGTTGAAATATATATATATATATATATATATATATATATATATATATATATAGTAAAAAAGAAAATTATATATAGTCTAAAAATGGGAACTGTGATACATAATCTGGTTTCTTTAAATTAATTATTATTATTATTATTATTATTATTATTATTATTATTATTATTATTATTATTATTATTATTATTATTATCATTATTATTTTGTAGTTGGTTTAGCAGAAGAAGAAAAAAAAAAATTTTATCATCATCATCATCACTATTATTGTCAGGGAATAACAATAATAATAATAATAATTAATAATTTATACTATTATTATTATTATTATTATTATTATTGATTTTTATTTTTTTTTGCAAATTTATTCGGCATTTGATTCGGAAATTATGACGTAAAGACTTTTGCTCCTCCCCCTTTCGCTACCTCGGAATTTTCGTTCCTCTCCTTCCCACTTCTCCTCCCGACCGCCTCAATAATAATAAAAAAAAAATTTTTAGGGAAAACGTAGGGGAGGGAAAGAAAGAGAGAGAGAGAGAGAGTGATTTTATTTATTGATTTTTTCATTCGTTCGTTCGTTCGTTCATTCATTCACGGATTGATTGATTGATTGATCGTATAGATTGTAAAAAAAAAAATTTAATTTTTTGGGGATTAATATTAATAATAATAATAATTGGAATGAGTGAAAAACTTTAAAAAAGCGTTATCATTCTCTCTCTCTCTCTCTCTCTCTCTTTCTTCTTGTCTTTATCGTTTTTTTTCTTTCTCTCTCTCTCTTCCTCCCCTTGTCTTTATCATTCTCTCTCTCTGTCTCTTCTTCTCCTTGTGTTTATCGTTTTCTCTCTCTCTCTCTCTTCCCGTCTTTATCGTTTTCTCTTTTCTTCTTCCCGTGTTTATCGCTCTCTCTCTCTCTCTCTCTCTTCCCTACCCTCGCGGCGCGGATAGAAAAAAAAATAATAATAATAATAAAATTCAATAGTCGACAATATTCCAAAATTCTTTTTTTCGGTTTTTTTAAAATATTAATTATATTTAACCGTTATGTAATCCCTTCCGGCACGACAGTTAACGATGATAATAATAATAAATAATAATAAATAATAATAAATAATAACAATAATGATAATAATAATTTCAATTTCAATTTTTTTTTTTAAATTTAATTTTATTTAAATTTAATCTCAGGTATTTTATATGTAGAAAAAGATAGATATCAAAAACAAACAAACAAACAAACAAATGGGAAAAAGGCTGAATTAAATCGATTATTTAATAATAATAATAATAATAATAATAATAATAATAATAATAATAATAATAATGATAATAATGATAAATAAAAAGTAGGATTTCGAACCAAATAACGATAATAATAATAATAATAATTAATAATATGAAATTTTTTATTTTTTCGTTTAAAAAAGAGAAGAAAAAAAGAAAAATTTTTTACCCAAATTATTATTATTATTATTATTATTACCATTAATAACCATTTCCGGTTCCGATTCCAATTTCATTTCCGCCTTCCCGACGAAAATAAAAATCCAATTTTTTTTGTTTTAATAATAATAATAATAAAATAATAATAAAGGGAACACGATGTATAAACGTTTTTTAATAATAATAATTATCAAAATTAATTATATATATTTAACGCGGTGGTGGTGGTGGTGGTGGTGGCGGTGGAGGGAGGAAAAAAGTGCCGAAAAAATTTTCGAAAAAAAAACAATTGGCTACACTGCCCTCACGAAAAAAAAAAAAAAAAAAAAATTTTTTTCAAATTTTTTTGTGTACATATAAACGAAGAAAACGAAAATTTAATAAAAGTATTATTATTATTATTATTATTATTATTATTATTTCTTTTAAAGAAAATTTTTAAATTATATATATATATATATTGATTAATTAATTAATTGATTGATTAATTGATTACTTGTAAATATTTATATGAATTGTATTCGAGACTTTTCGAAATTATTAATAATAATAATAATTAATAATTATTAAAAATAATAATAATAATAATAATAATAATAATAATAATTAATTAATTAATTTTTTTTTTTTTTAGTTTCGCCAACGGAAAATTTTTTGCTTCGTTTCGCGTTTTTTATTTCGTTTGTATATTTCCCCCTCCCCTCCCACCTCCCCACCCTTCCCCCTCCTTCTCGCCATTCCTCCTCCCACCTCCCTCCCCCTCCCGCGCAAACCCCTCCCCACAATAAATTTCCAATAATTATTTTTATTTTAATTTTTTTTTTTTTTGTTTTGGCGAATTTGAAAAGCTCAAAAATATTATTATTGTTAGTATTATTATTATTATTATTATTATTATTTAATTTTTTTCCCCGTTCGTTCGTTCGTTTGTTTGTTTGTTCGAGCTAATAATAAATTTTTCTTCTTTTTTTTTTTAAGTTTTCTTTACACGATGATGTAAAATTTTAAAAAATTTTTTTCGATTTTAACGATATGTATGGACACAAATTTAAAAAAAAAAAAATTCTAATGATAATAATGATAATGATAATAATAATAATAATGATAATAATGATAATGATAATAATTTAATTGATATATATATATATATATTTTCTTTTTTTTTTTTTTTTTTGTTTGTTACAGATGAAAAAAAAAAAAAAAATTTTTTTTTTCTCTCTCTCTTTCTATCTTATTTACAATAAAAATTTTTTTTTTTTTTTTTTTTTGCATTTAGGACACGAGAACGTCACACGTTCGCTCCCGAGAAACCGTTCGAAACTCACTCTTATAAATGATGTACTACATACGAATAAAAAACAACAACCTGATTTACAATAATAATAATAATAATAATAATAATGATTGACGATGACGATGATGACGAAAAACGATTACGACCGACTTAAAGTTTAGTTTAAAATGTATATTATACGTTCGCGAAGGGACGGCGTTCGCGAACGTATAATATTATCAAAGGTAACTTTCAACTTTTCGAGTTAAAAATTCGAAAAAAAAAAAAAAAGTTCGCTTTTCCCCCGATTGCACACACTTTATCAGCGTATCACGTAAACGAAATACTAATTAGGACCCATCATACCGTGTTGACCCAAAGCCATACCCGTGTAGGTACCCGTCGTTTGTGATCCGACGACGGGAGGACCGCCGCCCATGGCGGGAGAAGGTTGCATGGTCGGTGTCACGGATCCCGTGTGAGCCGGAGATGAAATTATCTGCAAGAGACAAACCGAACAACAAAATGTAATTTTATGTAAGACTAGTACGATTTGCGACGAACGCGTAACCTATTCGTACCTGAGGTTCGGACGGAAGTATCAAGTTAGCCAAAAGGTCACGAACTGCCGGAAACAGTGAGCACTCGTTGTGATTCAATCCGAATTCTGCGAATCGTTTTAACTGCATGCTGGCGGCGGTCATGGCCGTCGCAGGACCAGGATCTCTTTTCTCCGCGAGCTGCGTCAAATTCGTGCTGACGTCGTAGACGAGAGGAAGAACCAACGAGGGAGGTTCCATACCGTTCACGTATTGCACTCCGACTCTGGTCACTTGAAGCTACAAAAGAAAAAAAAAATGAATGCTCAGCATGAAAAACAATTCAACGACTGCGCGAGCTGCACGAACTTCAGTTATGAAACCTACGAAAAATAAAATTTTATTTCTGCAGACTAAAATGGCAGCTTGACCGATTGGTACGATTGGAGTTGCCGATGGAGGAATTCTCAAACACCATTGAACGGACCATTTTAACTGCTGCTGTTGAACGAGGTTGGGCATCTGAAAAAAGAAAAAATAAAGTAATGAAGTTCGTGGAAAATCCAAGGTCAAAGGGAAAAGTCGTGGGAGAAAAGGAAAAATTTACCATTTCCAATTTAATTATTTGTATGAAATCCTTCAGGACGTTAAAGGGAACGTTGAGCATTCGACCGAATCCGCACAATGCGTTCGGTTTATACGGAGGAGCGGCTGCTTTGTTATCGAAAAATTTTTCTATTATTTGAAGGTCTTCAACCGACCATTGATCTTTGTGCTCCGGAAGAGGAGTTACTTTCAAATGAAGAGATTGTAAATGCTGAGGATTTAGTGCGACTCTGCACTGAAGAGTTTCCACTTTGAACAAAACCACTCCCGGTTCCGTGCTGTTAATGGCTGTTAACTGTAACAACGACAAAATCGTTAGGAAAAATTTTAATAATGGCGTCGACGTCAGAGAGAAAAGTGAAAAAAATACTAACGCAATCGTCGGATTGTATAAATCTTTGCAATTGTCTTCTCATGTACACGCATCCCAAAAATCTTTCCAAAGGAGACAATTCGATTCCGAGTAATCCTTGAGGGTGCGGAGAAGGAGTGCAGAGTAAATCGAATGCCTGGTGAGTGAGTAAAGTTGGAACGGCGCCGGCCCACGTTCTTTGTGGTAACACTCTCGATATGTGAGGCCCGCTTTTGTGATCGGGACTTTGCAAAGCTGCGTATCCGGAAGCACTCGGACTCTGTCCGGGTCTCGCAGGAGATGGCCGAGGAATACTCGGAGAACCTGGCCAATTGGATACTGCCGGCGATGCCATGCCTTGAGATGAAGGAAACGGACTTCCGTCCAAGTGATTCGTTTGACCCATGAAAGAACCCGCAGGAGAATGTCCGACTTGAACCGGTCCGGGTGAAGAAATAGGCAGCAAACCCGCAGGACTAGGAACGTGAAGAGGATTAGAGGGAGAATTCGCCAAGAGTCCACCTGGAGAAGGATGAGGTAACATGGATGGTGAAGGATTAATTGTTGCGGGAAGGGATGGGGGTGAAGCGAGGTTAAAAGAAGTGGCCGGACTCGAGCCAAAAGTTTGACTGTGACTTTGAGACATACTTGATGTGTGAGGACTTGACGGAGTGTGAGGATTACTGCCCGACGGAGGCGTCACCGGAGGATGAAATTTCAAACCTTCCCTTCCCTGAGCTGGAGAGTGGGGACTTCTGTGATGCGAACCCAAAAACGTCATACCGCTTCCGTCCGAATCCATGGTTATAGGAGAAGGCGGATCGTCATCTTCACACTGCGAACGCCTCCTCAAAGCTGCTGTTTCGTCAACGTATTTACATAAAAAGGTTTTCAAACCTGAAACGAATAATAATAATAATAATAATAATAATAAACATATCATCAATGGATTCGAAATTTCAAATGAAAACTTATGATTGAAACAAACCTTGAGTAGGAGTAAATTCTTCCACGACGTTACTTTTATCAAATCTACTATAAGCACCGTCTCTTAAACTGACCATTCCTCCGCCTCTTAATCTTATTTCCAAACAGTAAGTTCCCTGATAAGCAAACCTAATAAACGTAGGCGTTTGAGGGAGTATAGTAAACGTTTGTACCGGTATCTGAGGTCTCTAAAGAAACAAATAAAAAATAATTAAAAAATTTGCAAAAAAAAAAAATTTTCATCCAACTTTAGAAAAAACCGTTAATAAATTACGTTATTATGAACTCCCAATTGCGGTAAAGTGGGAAGTTTGCTGATGGACAATACTGGTTGGTAAGTTTCGTGCAAAAGATGTATAATTTGTGCCAGATTTCTGTGCCGATTCAAATGTGCTTCGAGTTGTTCTTTTATCAACGAATGAGCGTTCGGAGTTTGATTATTGGCACCGAAAATGAGATAAAATGCTTTGTTGTGTTCGTTCCATTGAACCGTTACCAAAGCACCCCTATCCGGACCGTATCCGATGACCAATTTACTGTAGCTGTACGATTTGATCGTCATTATTTGCGACAAATTATATTTACCTAAAAAATTAACAAAAATTTAAATTATACAAAGTTTTTTTTAAAAAAAATAACTGAAAATTTGGTACTCATCGTACTAATTTTAAGGTATTCGGTGAGTTCTTCCACGCAATCATACAAATTCACGATTTGCGCCCAGTCATTTAAAAGAGATTCAACCGTTCTAACTGGCATATCCGAAGATCCCATGTCGTATTGAAAATACACGGGTCGCCTTAAACCCTGCTCTTTAGGTTGTGAACTATTTAAAGGACTTCCATAAAATACAAATTCAACCATCCAACTTCTTCCAGTGCCTTTTCCGTGAACTCTAATAGATACCGATAGTAGACGTCTTAGCAATGCTTGCCACGAAGACTTTTTAACCTTGGTAGTTGGCAAAGGCAATTGAATTATTCGTAAAACTAAGGCAGTGGCGTTGGCTTCGACTTGCAGACCCTATCGAAAAAAATTTGTTTAGTATAAAAAAAATATTTTTTTTTTTTTTTGTACATTTGGAAAATTTTACTGATAAGGTGTACCTGATGAGGAATACCATGTTTGGTTAGTTCTTGAGCTAGAGTCACAAATGGTATTCTTTCGTCACAGAGGGAAACAACATGGGCTAACTCTGGAATAAAATATGCTGGCTGTTTTAGCCTCCGCGGAGAAGATTCAAATTTTCCCGATGCTTTTCTTTTACCGGGTACTTTTTCATCTTCAATACTCGTGTAGGGTCCGTGTAAAATTACAAACGAATCGAATTCTATCAAACTCAATACTTTCAAGTACATTTTCGGTATTTCCGTTTCGATTGTGTCATCTTCGGGATTGTCTTCAATGGAAGATTGTTTAACGACTGCCATGTAAAACTGACAATCGATTTCGTAGGGTGCATTTTCTTTTTCCTTAAATTCAACAATCAATATTGCATTCGGGTGCCTGTGGAGTCTGACGTACATTCTATGACGTCCGATTTTGGTCATCGGATGATCCGGATGATGGAGGAGGGGAAGTCGTTCGTATGGAGTCGCAGGAAGATGTTGTAAAGTTTTTTCGCATCGCCTTTGTGTAATCCAATACCTGAAATATATTATAAAAAATAAAATTTTAACATGAGTTAAAAAAAAAAAAAAAAAAAACAAAAAATTAAAATTTATTTAAATTTAACGAACCTTAATTCTGATATCAAGTTCGGAAGTCGAGTTCTGTCTCCATTTAAAGCAGCTTGAAGTTCAGGTATGAGAGGAGCTTCGTATTGGGGTATATGACACTGTAACATTCCTGTATGAGTATCAACGGTTACTAATAAATTTTCTGCGCGCAAACACGGCTGTAAAACAGGTACGGATAAAATTGCAGGAGAACCCTGAAGTTGGCATTCTATGTCTTTCAAAACGCTTTCTAATTCTTGTTTAAGCTCTGACAATCGAGCTTTTGTTCTCACATATATGGTATGAACCAGTAACCTGAAAACAAAATTAATTTTTTTTTTTGTCAAAATCGAAAACATTTCAATATAAAATAATTTTCAATACATTTAAAAAACTTTTACCTTTCCATTGATAAAATATCAGACCTAATAGCTTTATCGGCTATTTCACTTTCTTTTCCACCGAGAGAAGGAACATGAACAACTGTTAAAGGTCGAGCAGGATCATAATTATCCACTTGAACAGTCAGTTTATATCCTAATTCTGACTTTGGATCTTTAGATGATAATTCTTTCCAATAAGAAACAGATAAACATTTTCCTGGAGTATAATCGTTAACATGAATATGATCATCTAATCTGTCACGACATAACCTCAATGTTTGAGAATATAATACTTCTAATTGAAGACTTTGACAAAAAAAATGAAGGCAATTATAGACTTCCCTCAATGGATCTGGATTATCTACTAATCTGGTCTGAATAACTTGATGAATGTAATTAACTTGCAAAGTATGAACAAGTGCTTTCCCATCTAAAATGTAATATTTAAACGTTGTTATTTTATAAAATTTTTAATTGTTTTTTTTTTTTTTTTTCAGGTAAGAATTACGCACCTCCTGTTTCTTTGTCTTCTACTAAAATGTCAATATCTAATAATCTCCAAGGTATATTAGGTCCATCACCCATCACAGTTAAAGAGACTTCAAATTCATTTTCAACATGAAATGTAACTCTACCATAATCAATTTTAAGATTTCTCATTTGTGGAAGTAAGTTTCCAGTGACTAGTCTATGTTGTATAACTTGATTCAACCTCTCTAATGTATTTTTTCTTTCAGAGCTTGTTATAGGATCAGGAGGAACTATTCTATCTCTAATGCAAGCAGGCAATCTCGAGTAAGTTCCAGTTGTAAGTACTTCTACTGCAGCAGGTATGTGGAAATTAGGAAGCCTGGCATGAACCAATGTTTCTCGAGCCATTTTTGCCAGTATGTCAGCAGTATCCACAAACAAAAGAGACTGTTTATCTAAGAAAGCCATTATATGCTGCAATTGAAAAAAGGTTAGTATAAATTTTTTTTTTTTTTTTTTGAAAACTGACTAATATCTAATTAAACAAAATTTAAACTTACAGCTGATTTATCCACTTTAGAAGCACTGTTTGCCCATTTAACAAGTGCTAAGAGTCGAACAAACAATTGTCTAGTTCTTGCTGAATAATTATATATTTCAATTTTTCTCTCCATATCGGTTTTTCTAGGTAAAAGCTCCGCGAGTACTGATAATTCGTGATAAGTTCTCTGAACGATTAAATCAATAAGAAATCCGAGTGATATGGAACCGCCACGATTTCCCTCCTGAGGAACACCATTTCCAACAGGCATTTGTACGCCTTCTAATGGAATAGGAGCCATGATTACCCAAAAGGTAAGTTTTATTTAAATTAAAACTTTACTAACGTTGTCTAATGAAAATTAATTAAAAAACTAAAATATAACAATTTATGAACAAAACATTTAATCTTTTTGTGACAAGTATCTGTGTCAAAAACATTTTACACCTGTAATAACACAAACTTTAATATTTTTCTATATCTATTTATATTTAACTCAAATAAAACGCCCAAAAATTAACACAAACTATTATTCACTTAAAATTAGGATAAAGTCTATAAACAAAAAAAAAAAAACCTGCAACATTTATAATTTAATAATATATAATCAAATATTATTTAAATATCTATTTATTGCCTACGCAAAAAAGTAATGCCACTTTAACCGACGCCATTTTTTTTTTTTTTTTTTTTTAAATAAAAACTTTTATTTATTAAAATTCAGTATTTTGAAAAAATATCTTTTTAACATTTCTAAAAATTATTTTATTATATAAATTAAAAAAAAAAAATAAGAATAAACATTCGATAAATTAAAAAATAATTTTATTTAAAAACAAAACTTTTTAATTAATTAACTAGATTGTCATGAGAGATATAACTACTAAAATCTAGAAGGCTGTGAGATTATTTAATTTTAAATTAACGGTTTTTTATATAATTCGAACGTTTTAACTTACCCCCCTGTCAAAAAAAAAAACAGTTTTAAATTAATAATAATAATTAAAAGTAGTTTTTTTTTAATTAAAAACAATTCGGTTTGTTTTTTAAATCAAAATATAATTAAAATTAATTTTTTTTTACAAGTTAAATTTCATACAACGTATTTACAAACACACAAATACGTTTGTGTTTAAACGTTTGCATGGAAAAAAAAAGAAAAAAAAAATCACAAATTGAAATTAATTAATTAATTTTCAAGCATTTAATTATTAAAAAATAAAATAAAATAATTCAACCATTTGAGTATAATTACATTTTTCCTACACTGTACATTTAAATTTTTTTTTTAAATTCAAAATACTGAAATCTCTCTTTGGTTGTTAATCAGTTATCCCATTTTTTTTAAATTCATCATAAATAAATAAATAAATATTTATTTCTTTAAAAAAAAAAAAAATAAACAAAAATGTAAATAAATATATAATAATAATAATAATAATAAAACAAATTAAAATTTTTTTTATTTTATTACTACCACTAATTAAAGTAGAAAAACAAATTTTTTTTTTGCAGGTTTTTTTTTTGAAAAATTAATAAAAAAAAAAAAATTTAAATTAAACAATTTTCTCTTTTTCTTATTCTTACTGATTATTTAAACAACATTTTACGTTTAAAATAATAATGATAATAATAATAATAATAACAACTATGTTAAATTAAATTAAATTAAATTTAAAAAAAAAAAAAAAAAATTAAATAATTGCGAGGTTAATAATAGAAAAATTAATTTTTGAGCGTTTAAGCAACCGAAAAAAAAACTCTTTTCTAATAATAATAATAATAATAATAATAATAATGAAACAATTTGTAACATTTATGGCGGCATGTTAACATTTTCCTCTTTTTTATTTTGGCACAATCGGTAGGTAGTAAAAAATAATTATTAACATAAATTAACACGTGACCGAATTATTATAATTATCATTATTATCATTACGATGATGTTGTTGTTGGTAATTTACAATCTCAACTTTTTTTTACATTTGGCAAGCAATAATAATAATAATAACAATAACGTACATTAACAAAAAAAACATTCGTAACCTTGATGCAAGGTTTACAAACGTGTAACAAGACGCCATTTTGTTTTTGTTTTTTTTTTTTTTCCGGTAACCCTCAACAACGGACTACGTATCGACGACGTGTTTTCACATAAACGATCCGATCATCATCATCATCATCATCATTTTATTATAAAACCGCCATTAGAACAATCGAATCAATCGTACGGTATGTCTTGAGATGAAATGACCGTTTGACTCCTTTCTTCGAAAAGTGCTTTGGAATAATTAATTTTTTCGGATACGGAAATGGCTATCTCTTGAGTATCGCATCTGACTAGAGGTTTTTTTATTGTTTCCTGTCCGCTCACGACATCCGCTCTTATCGTGAGCTCAATGTAATGAAGAATGTTGTTGGTGTGTTTCTCGCCCAGGCTCAGAGGTTGACTGTGATAAAAATTACTGAAACCATACGAGAAAAAATGAATCAATCGATCGATCGATCGATCGATTAATCGATCGTAGGTAGGTAGGTGACTTACTTGAGTGATACCTCGAGTACGACAGCCAAACCCGTTATGGTGAAAATTCTTATGCAATCGCTCGATATTAAAATTCTCAGGTCTTCGCTCGCGCTTCGAAGTATTTCATAAGACAACAACCTGAATTTAATGGAAAAATGACAAAAATGAACGATAATAATAATAATAATAATAGTGATGATGATAATAATGATAGGGAAACTTACAATTCGGAATAATTTCTTTCGTTAATTTTGTACAGGAATTCTTGTCCCTGACTTTGTTTGGCTGAAAAATGTGGGAGGAGTCCTCCGGGACCGACAACGCATCTGGGTAGTCTAAATCTGGGTGGAGCCGATTTCAACGAACTCCGACTGTAATCTCTCACCGCGCTCGCAGTTTCCGTCGCGAGATCCAATATTCCGACGACGGGTTTCGTGACCGTTCCCACCAATCCCTTACCGAATCCCGCAATCAAACCCTGTATCCCCTCCGAAGCCGCGCCCTCGTACGTCTGCGTGAAAACGCTCGTCATTCCGCCGTAAATTCCAAAACCCAAACCTTTCAAACCCGCGACGATGTGTTCGCTGCTCGAACCCGAATGCAATTTCCGTATCCTTTGCCTCGTTTGTTCGTGCGTATCGTCTAAAATGACTCGTCCCAGGCCATCCGACAGCGACTCTGTAAGAATCATAGTGTCATCATCCAATATCCAACATCTTAACGATTGTTCATTTATACTCACCCGTTACTTTTGCCGTCGAATTGGACAATCCGTGAGCGACGTTTTTGAACAGTGCGCCGACGTTACCCTCGTTTAACAAACCGGAAAATCCTTCCGTGACGTCATTCATGAGACCCAAAGGACTCCCGAGAAAATCAACGGAACCGAGTATGAAAGCGGCTTGCCATTTGAGCTCTTGTATGAAATGTTTTAATATCGAATTGAAAAGGAATTGAGCCGTTTCGAAAGGATGTTTTTTTATGAAAGGTTCGAGTTCGACGGTCGCATCTTCGAATTTAATCAGAGTTAAATGAAGTTTACGTTTGAGAGATTGAAGAACGGGAGGAAGTTTAGCGGATGTGAAAACGCTGAGCCTGATCTGTAATTTTCACAATTATTATTATTATTATTATTATTATTATTATTATTATTGTTCATAAAGATACGCTCGCAATGTGGGGGAAAATTTACTCACCGTACTCGGCTCTAATTTCAAAACTCCAAAATAATATCGAGTCGCGTGAACGGAAGTGGCTTCCATGACCATTCTTTGAGTTTCGAAATCGCTTTCTTCGGCATCTTCCGTTTCGACGTTCGACGGATTTCCACCGAACATGGCGTATAATTTTAACATTAGTTTCTCTTCGATTTTCAACGATAAATTTTTAACCGTTATTATTAAATGCTGTAAAAAAAAAAAAAAAATCATAAAATGTTGACGACCTCGAGACAAAATTTTTTTTTTTTTTGGACTTGTGAATTAAAGGAAAATGGCGCTCACTTCAAATATATACGCGTTCGATTTCGTCGAGGTTTGCATGTGTGAGGAAATTTGAACTGCCGGCAAATGTTTCTTAGGTTCGTCTTCTCTCAACCCTCTCGTCACGTACAAAACGACAGGGCACTGAGGTTCGAAAAGTTGATTATCACATTGAACGTCTTGTATTGTGCAATCGAACGTCACGTGACTGGGAGTTTTGACCGTATCGAGCAGGATACCTTTCAAGTGAAGGAAAAGCAATTCTTCTTGCGGTTTCCTCGACACGATGCTTATACCGAATCCGGCTTTCAAATCTATCGTCAATTGCAATTCGTTACAATCTCGACAAGTATTGACGTCGGAAAACATGACGCCGGGAGAAGTTAGGGAATTCCATTGTTTTTCAACCATAGAATTAATCTGACTGTTTTTCTGCAATTGAAAATCATCATTATTATTATTATTATTATTTCGAACCAATAATTTCAATTTTTCAATCACCTTCGCATCGATGGGATCGATGACTTTGAGGACTCTCGTCGGTCCGTCGCTTGATATGAACACGGATAAACACCCCGAACCTGGTCTCATTTTCATTCTGCTTATGGCTTGTTCTATGGGTACGTTATTGCTGTACGTGTTTGATGTTATTTCAGAACTCGGTCCCAAAACGACTTCATTCCCTAAAATCATTTTTATCATCATCATCATCATCATCATAATTAGATAAATTCAATTCAATCTTTTTAATGTGTCATTCATAAAAACATAGAGTAGTATGAATACCATGCTCAAGAACAGAAAAAAACAAAAACACATTTGACATGTATAATGGCAATACGCTGCAGATATAAAAAATGCAATTAACACTCGATAAAATATTTATATATATACATACACTTTTGCCAGATACCAGTTTTTGTGCTTCCTGTAAAAAAATTTCATTGCAAGTTAAACATTTTTCCCTTTTTTTTTTTTTTAAACCTAAAAATTCCAGGTAGAGTTTTTCATCTGCAGCATAATGCTTATTTCGTCATTACGCGAATAAAATTATGTCATGATTCGTGATGAGTGAGTTTTTTTACCTTGTCGCAGGCCGAAGAATCCATCTTTTGCTTGAACGCACATGTTTTTATGTGCGCAACAAAGTCTTCCGTCTTCCGTGAATCGCCATTTTTGCGTGGATATCCTTCTCTTGTCGCGTCGTCTCAACACGAGTGCTATGCACTGCATGGGTTGCGGTGCCGTGCCTTCGATGTCCAAAACTAATGTTTTGTCGCTGTAGTCGGATGCTTTTGATCTCGGATCCCTAAAATTTATAACGTTTTAAATTAGATTGTAACGAGGGGGGAGGAGGAAGGGAGAAGGGGGGGTGTCATTACCGAGGAGGACTTGAACCTTCGTGCTGAAGTTGACCTTCGCTCGTCATTCTCCACAATTGAGACCTCGCACCGTGTTGCTTCCTACTCAATATCACCCTGTATTCATCCACGCAATCCAAAACGAGCTGTTGACTTTCAATATCCAGGGGATTAAACGAAGAATCCGAACAATCGTTGTTGGCCCTAAAACTATTTTAATTTATCAATTCATTCGAACGATTCCCGAGTGAAACATTTTGAAAAAAAAATAATAATATAAAAACCTGTTAAATGTTGCCGTGAACGCTATGTATATGAAATTTTCGTATGTTAAACTTATCGACGAATCGTCAACCGTGGAATTTATGTCGTAGGTAGCAGAAGCACCCCCGGGAGCAATTAAAGTCAAATTCGACGGACCGAGAGGTTCGTCCCATGCATAATCAACGGATGCTTGCGGGCGAACAATCGACTGAAGACTTTCCACGCTTGTACCCGTCTGAACAAAAATAAAAAAAAAAATAGATAAATTTTTTCTCCTTCGCATACGAGTGGGGAAATTAAATTGAATTTAACCTCACCTGGAAAAATTGAATTGGAACTTGAGAAAAATTATTTATTCTGATTGGAGGAGGCATGGAATCCGCATCCGTGAAAACGACAAAATATGTCGCCGCTTGCAAAACAACTTCGACTCGGAGGAAATGCATTTTACTATTTTTATCCCTGTTCAATCATAAAAAAAAATTAATATTCCTTCAAAACTTTTCTCTTTTTTTTTTTTCCTAAAATTTTGTTAAAAGTATTTTTTACCTCACATTAACATGCAACGAATCTTCATTGTCTATGCCGAACCCTCCCGACCAGAGACAGTTTTTCACTTCGAGTAGCCTGATGCACAAAAGTAATTCCTTGTCTAAACGTGGCCAATGCCATGCCAAAGAACAATCTTTGACGGCGGTCGCATACGTTGCAGCAGCTCCGGGATCGTTCTGAAATTTCAAATTACGATCGATTCAAATTTTATGAATCGAAAAGGAAATTTCATCAAATCGATACGCACCAACGTGGTAGCCAAACACTTTTGAGCGAATTGCAATTTGTATGAACTTTTATTATGGAGTTGAAATCGCGGGGATAGAGTCACTATATTCGTATTTCTATGACGACCTTTTCCCGGACGTATATTGATACCGATCGCATACACGATATCCGGACGATGATCCCTTTGTGAAACTCTCAATTGTCGCACTTGTGCTCCCACTTGCAAATGAAAGTGTTGACACCACTGCCAAAAAGGGGTAGAATAATATAATTTCGAGAGAAAAATTAAAAATGGGAGGGGGGGGGGGTCGGAAGACAAAAAATACCTGAGGGTTTCGATCCGGGTGACAAAGTGCTCCCACTCGAGCTTGTATCGTTGGACTGGCATCCGGATCCGAGAGAGAAAACAAGAGAGGAGTAACCACTCGTGCTATTTCGTTTTCTGTGAATTGTCCGGCCGTTTCGTTGGACGTACCCTCTTGTTTGAACACGAGAGGCATCGACGTTTTGTTTATTATCCAATACGGTGCCCAAATGTTGATACTCATCTCTGCATTTTTATTCACGTGTATTCCGGCATTTAAATCCAATCGTCGACCGGATTCGTCGTGGAGTTTTAGGCGGCAAGTAACGGACGTGACGGGAGAGGGTACGAGGAGAACTCCGTATTTAGGAAAATTTTCAATGTGAAAATGAATTTCGAATTTATGATCGCAATCCACCTGCAAAAAAAAATGCCGATGTCACTACATTTTCATTCTTCAAGTTTGTGGAAAAAATTAAATTCGTATGTACCTCGTGAATGGCGGCTGAGACACCGGGTTTGATGTGCCCCCGAACATTCGCTTCTTTTATGCTGTAATGCAAATCGCACGGAAGCAAATTCGTGATTGTGAGAGGACTTAACAAAACAATTCTGTGACCAGGCTGCGGCCAGGGGCTGACAAGGTAACCAGGAAAATTTTCTCGTTGAATCGATGCGACGAATCTAAAAACGAAATAAATGAGCCTTAACGAAATTCCCATGAATGATTACCATTCTTCCATTTTATTTACCGGTAAGATCTGTCACGACTACTCGGACATTGATGCGCTTCGTGAACTATTTCATTTGGAGTTTTCACTTTCGTCCAATTCAAGGGCGCGTTGCTGAAACCGTGATACCTGTTTAAATTATGACTGCTCAAGGGTCGAACCCATATTTGTGCAAAAGAATGACTGACGGGTACCGATATCGAACCTCCCGATACTATTTGAACGCATTTAATCGATTCCCAAACTGAAAATTTAATTTGATCGTTAAAAAAAAAAAAAAAAAAAAAAAAAAAAAATTTTATTTTTTCTACACTTTCTTACTATCTGGACTTATGATCGTGTTTTCCAACTTGACTTCAACACTCTCGCTCAAACAATTTTTGATGACTATGCCAGATCGAACGGTGACTAACTTTCTCGCCGAACCTTCTAACGTGATTGCAAAAATTAATCTCATCGCGGGCAAATTCACCTGTAAGAAGAAAAGTTTATAATTTTACTTTTGACCGTTACGAATATTTAAACGACGTAGACTACGATATACCTTATCGGAGGGCATCGGAGCAGCTTGTCGAAAGTACACTCCGACTTTATCAACCGATACCGGAGCGGCGGGTTTCCACATGTCCACGCGAACAGCCAATTGATGAACTCGTACGGTATGCGTGTCGCGATGTCTCACCTTACCCCTACCGCCAAAAGTGAAAGGTACCGTTTCGTTGGGGAAAACTTTTATCCAGGTATTATCTTGTTCCAAAACGACCGCATCGGATAAACTATTAAAAAAAACAAAAAAATTAAAAATAGTTTTTGAAGAAATTCGTGGGGCAAAAATAACTACGGAGGAAAACATTTACTTTTCGCTCGTTTTGACCAAGACGGTGAACCACAAAACAGAACCCGTATCATTTTTTAAAGCAAAAGGCACAAATGGTGATCTACGACGAAGAGCCACGATCCCGGAAATCGGTTTTGTGGGATTGTCCTCGTTCCCGTGTACGTTTCGACAAGGATTGCAGTAATCTTCCGTCCAATTATCTTTAACCATACTAAATAACTCTAATAAAGTACTTGTGATATTTACACTGAGTAATTCTTCTGAATGTATTTGTATTTGAAGCCTGTTTCTCAAAAGTCCAGACGTCAGCAAATGTTCCCACCTAGCCGAACATCTATAAAAACGACGTCATCATTCAAATTAACAATAATAATTTAGTAATAATTGCCCCCCCAAAAAAAAATAAGTATGTACAAACCTCCACGGTTCTATAAATGGTTCCCATCCTGATAAAACCCTATTGTAGTAGTCACTTGTGAATAAAAATTTCGCACTTCCGGGACCGTCTATTTCCTGTTTCAACGATAGTTGAGACATAGAAAGCTCGAGTAATGGAACATCAGCATCTCTACAGTCGTCTATAACGCATATACTTAAACACGAAAGTTTCACCTAAAAAAAAAAAAAAACAAACTTTTTAACTTACAATTTTTTTTTTTTTTTTTTTTTTTTTTCCCAATAGTAAATTTTTTACCTCGACGGTTTTAAATGAAACAGCCGAACGAGAATCGGAAGCAAATTCTTTTTCGTTTGAAATGTGAGCCGCATTTTGAGTGAGCCAAAGAGCCGCTTCGTCTAATTGTCCGCAACTCATTTGCAATGCTTTCGTACAGTCGTCAATGGAAAATCCCAATGCGTGTAATTTTGAAATATGGCCTGGATGGAAACGTTTTCAAATAAATAAAAATATACTAAAACGCACGCATGCGCGTCATTTTTAAACTTCTTACTTCTTATGTTCACCGGATAGCTTCCCTGTTCGGTCGCTGCTTGAGTTCTCGCTTTATAAGTTTGCTTCGGTACGCTATTCAACATTTGTGAAAGCATTCTGAAATCGTGATATGATAATCGGACGCATAAATGTTGCATTTGAACTTCCAACGTTCTATCGGCGCTTGTATAAACGGCGTCGTATATCCCCTTAGCTTCGGATAAATTCGCCTTAAGAGTCACTTCCATGTTTACGGTAACGGGATCGATGATCGAGAGAGCTGTTTCATCTTCCATTCCTAATATGCAGGAAAAAACTTCACACCGATTCAAATTGCAAGACAGGGGTTTTTCCAATAAATTAGGACGATAAGAAATGACTGTCGTACTCTAAAAAAAAAAAATCGATGTTCATTAGGTAAAATTTTAAAATTAAGCCAATTAAACCGGATCGCCGACGACAACCTTAAGTATTATAGCATTTGAATCCAAAACGGACGTATCCTCAACTAAAATTATTTCAGAATCTGTAATGTTCAATTTAAATTCGAACGGAATGGTATCGCAGTCGATGACCGGAGGACATTTTGTCACAACTCCCCCAGATCCCGTAGCATATGTGCACGCTTTAGAAGCGTAGGGCGTGCTGTGAAAAACATTGCTCGAATATCCTACTTCGATGGGAGCGGATGCATTGTCCATGATAAAATCTCGAATGATTTCCCACCAGTCCAAAACTGCCATCAAACGCATATTATGAAGCAAAACTGTCGCTTTCGAATAATTTTTTCTGCGTCTGCAAACAAAAAAAAAACAAAAACTTGATTAAATTTCCCTTAAATTTTATAAATTAAGGATATCGTAAAAATTTATTTTTTTAAATACCTATGATGCACTTCCGCTTGAACCGTCCCTTCATCTAAGTCTATTTTTTCTCTCTCTCCAATTTTTTCATCCGTGCTTTTCGAATCTTTGGAATGCTTCGAATCAGTTTTGGACGTCAGGGGTTGTAAAATGTTGGTAAACACATTACATCTTTTATTGATTGGCTCGTCTGAAAATAATTAATTTATTTGTAAAATTAAGGCATATCTCAATGTTTTTATTTTTTTTTTTTTTGGAGAAATACGAACCTGCGAATCTGGTATCGGTGATTAAAATTTCAGCCGAAACCAAATCGATGTCTTGGGATCGATCACTGAACGTTTCAACAACAAGTCTGGACCGTATAAAATTGACGCAAGCTAAAGGCACTCCTTCCCTATGCTTTTGCTTTAAATGAACAACCACGTTGACCAAATCCAGGTGAAGACTATTAACCAACCAAACCGGTTCGTTATGATTTCCCTAAAAAAATGAAAAAAAAAAAAAAATTTTTTAATGTATTTTGCATTCGAGTAATTTTCAATGTTTCACAACCTACTTACTTGATTTAACATGTTTCCGAAAAATTCGTTGGCTTGATATGTGTACGATAAATCCTGAAGATTTTCACCGATGTTATAAGTGAGGAGACCGCGAATTAATTTATACTGAGATAAATCCAATGATGCTTCCAATTTCGCCAGCGTTCCTTTGATGCTCAAATCCGGTACTTCTCTCGAAAGATGAGTATCCAAATTTCGATCGATTTGAAGTTTTAAATGACATTTGTCGGGGAGCAAAGAAGGTCCCTCTTTGGTGATTCTTATACTTCCAAATTCCAACGTCTTATTTTCCAATTGTTCGGACGAACTTATTCCATGTCTTATTCCAGCATACAAATCCATGTTTTCCAAATCTAATGACATCACATCCAAAAGACAAGATACTTAAAAAAAAAAAAAAAAAAAAAATTATCAATCGTTACGCTGCAAATTTTTCCTGTTATCCTTAGCGAAAATTTGAAAATTAGCAAATTACCCGTCGTCGTTCCTTCGGGTGCATTAAAGGGAAGCGTTTCTTCGCATCCTGCTTTTCGAAATCTATTTCGAACCGTCAATTTTCCCAAATCGACCACTAAAACTTCCGGACTCGTCGAAGACACGGGAAGTAATAAAACCGGCGAACCCGCATTGATTTCGAGCAACATTCTAGACGAAGGTTTCAGTTTTTCTTTTTCGCTCTGAAATGTTAAACATGTGTCACATTTATTTACTCGATGAAAACGTCGATCGGATCGAATGGATTAACATTCACGAAAAACTGATATTTACATCCGATGAACGCATGGCGGCCATTAATGCTTGAAATTGTGAAAATCTATCGAAATAAGCGTATATTTCTCCGAGGAAACGACCCGTGTGAACGTAAAATATCGAACTCATTTCTATTCTTAATTCGGAATCGCATTGACGTTTGACACGAGACTCTTCTTCATTACCATAGCTAAAAATTTTATTACCTCCCCATGTGAAAATACAACAACAACAACAACAAACATAACAAATATAAAATTGCAAGTAAAAAAAAAAAAAAAGAATGGATTTAATACCTTACATAGTGAACGTGTAACGCTTGATTTCCGGATGTTAAAAATCTTTCCCGGTATAATTTTCCGTGAGGTGTCAAATCCGCGAGTGACATTGACCCGAGACGTCCTTCCCAAATGAATCGCGGTCCCGAATTCCTCGTTTTTATCGACAAATGACTTATGTTAGCTTTGGCTACTTCGTACTCGGGTCGAATGAGTACCAAAGTTAAAGATCTCACTTCCAAATCGAGTTTAGAATTAACGTTTGTCGACTTCGAAGAATCTTCATCGTTCGTCAAATTTTTCTGTTCGGATTCGTACGTTTGTAGTTTTTCCTTCGAGGGAGTTTTATCGATTCCGAAAAAATCAAATACGACGACCCAGGATTCGATGTTCGCGATCACGTCCAAACAATTAAAATCCACTGTCACGATTCGATTCATCTGTAAAAAAAAAAAAAAAAAAAAATAAATGATTAGAAACAAATTTTTCGAAACAAGTCTTTCATAATTTTTATAACTTACACTTTCATACTGCGTCGCATAATTGGCCGCACTCTTGTCCACCATGGTCACGTTAATAAAAACTAAATTTTCTTTACTCGACATATCGTCCGCGGGTGATTTTCTACTTCTCGGACTCGGTGGCGGAGTGCACGGATATTCACTTTCTTTCGAACGTCTATCCAACACTTTGGGTATGGATATAGGTCTGCGACCTGGACAAAAAAAAAAAAAAATTTTCATCCCAATTAAAAACTTTTCAAAAAAAATGTCGTTAATAAAAAAAGGTTTTTAAATTTCGGACCCGAAGATGAAGATTCATAAATCACCATGGGCTCGTAAAGTTTATCCGGAAGTGAATTATGAGAAATGACGATGTTTTGAAAATTAGCCAAATTGGGACAGGATTGAGAAAATGGAGTGTGAGAAGTTCGAATTTCCGGTGCAGCCGATGACACGACCAAAAATCTATTTTTGGAATTTTCGTCGACTAGTAAATCTTCCATGACTAAAGATTTTAAACGCATCTGAAACGAAACAAATGAAAACGTTAAACGTTATTAATAAAACATTTTTTTTATTAATTTTTTTTAAATTTTTCTTTAAACGCACACTTACTTGTAAATGATTAATTAAAGAATTCGTTTGATCGAAAGTCAATATGAAATCTCTGAAAGAAATGGAAACCAAACTATTTTCCACCAAGCATCCGAGTTCTCCCAAAAGTTCTATCGTAAACTCTGGTAATTCGAAAGTAACTGAAGAAAAAAAAAATAAATTTTGTTAACATTTAAGCATTAACCTATCGCATCTTAATAAAATCATTAAAAATAATAATTGAACCTCTCAAGGCTAAGGAAGAAGAAGAAGAAGAATTAGTTATGGATGGTTTGAACGAATGTCCGACCGATGTCGAATTGAGCATTTTCGCTCTCAACGCCGGATCCAAACTAAGAGTGGAAACGCCAAACATGGAATCGACATTATCTTCTTCTTGTATATCCCCTAATTTCGTAGCGTGTGGGGCGACTTCCGGTTCCGTCGAATCCGAAATTTTTATAAATAAATTATTTATCGTTTCGAGTAATTGATTGTATTGTTCACGCGTGAGAGAAACTTTTAACGGACCCACGACGCAACCGTTTATCTATAAAAAAAATTTCATTTATAAAAAAAAAAAAGGAATTAAAAATTAATAAATTTTTTAATTTTTTAATGCGCATACCTGTACTTGATTCGATTCCCAATCGGGTTCTAAATCGAAATCCCATGATCTGTTCATAGAAGACGTTATTTGTCTTTCGGTTACTATTTCTATTACTGTATTGTGAAGTATTGGTTTGCCATCGCAGGAAGCGTACATTTTTTCAGGCCTTGGCAAAATCGTATCACCCGTCATACTGAAGAACAACACAAAATAAAATCAATCATTGATTGAAATCATTATTAAAATTCAATTATGGAAAATAAAAAATAAACTAACTTTAACGTGACATTTGTCAAGTTGCTCGCCATCGTTACAGAATATAAATTCATGTCCCGAATTTCGATATTGTATTTTTCTATTTTCGAACTCCAACAATCCGGTTTTTCCACGTGAGTATTTCTTGCCTGAATATTTTAAAAAATTTTTTTATTTTTTGTAATTTTTTAATATAAAAATTTAATACAATTTTACCGTTATTTTTCCCAGATGAGCTACAAAGACTTGATCACTTGTCGGAGACATGGGTAAAATTATGACCGGAGTATCCAAAACGACATCCAAACGAATTTCTATACTGTCCAACACGTCATCATCCACGGGTGAATACGGCGTGTAAGGAGTGTTACCGAGAGTTTCCGCCGATTGCGTAAAACTCCTTCTTCTTTTCTTCGGAGAGCTTATGTCGAAATTTGATCCGCCGTAAAGTGAAGCAGACAATCGTCCGGACATTGACAAACTTTGAGCCAAAGCTTCAGCTCTAATTCCGAAAAAAAAAAATGTAAGTTATAAATAATTAACAAGAAAAAAAATTTAAATTAAATTAAATTAAATTAAATTACCGTGCGTGAACTAAACCGATCGCCATTTCAGTAGCTGCCGATTTAATGGATCTAGCAAGATTTGATAAATATTGTTTGAAATCCGTAGCGCAAGATTGAAGTTCTTTAACGAGGAGCGATGAATGAGTGTACCACACGGATGCCAACCTTACTTTTACATCAACACCGTCTGCAAACAAAAAGAAAAACAACATCACACGTAAGTAGTCGCATTTATTTTCAAAATTAAAAAACAAAACAAAGGATTACTTTGAGTATCGGATTGAAGAGATCTTTTGACACTGAAACCAAACGCGGTTTTATCGCTGTTGAAATTAGACAGAGAATACAATCCGGCTGACAAATCCGCCATTGTATCGTTTCCCAATGGATCTGCACCCACGCTGAGTATTCTTTGATGCTTCATTCCTTCGGGTGTTAAATCAACGATTTGTATTCCTCCAAGCGATCCTTCCACGGTTAATTCATCTCCTGCAACGGTAACGGGTAATGATAATGATGCTGTTCTTAACTATCATCATCAACAGTTTGTTCGATTTGAAATAATTTCTTACCAACTGTGGCTTTTATTTTTGCTTGCATCATAGTAGCCGTACAAATTTTCCTTCCCACCAAACAACCATCTTTGGCCACGGCTCTCAGGAGTAAAACATTCAATCTGTGAAAGTCGAAAGTCACTTCTGTCTTTGCCGGAATTTGTTCGCTGTAAAAATTTTCATCGCCCAAACTCTGATGTGATAACGATTCAGTTTTAGACTTTTCAATTTCTAAAATAAATTAAAATATGAATTTTATATAAGGAACGGATCGTATTGAACGATAATCATTTAATTTGAAACTTAAAGACGCAAAGCAGACACCTTTTTCCACGGGCGAAGGACGTATCGGCACCGTCTTCGATGCCGGAAACACTCTCCTCACGAAACCCATTAATTCTACAATGGTTTCCTGATTTGCTAAAATAATAAAAAGAAGACCAAAAATTTACTTTCGTTAATAAAAAATTTAATTTTAATTTAATTTATTTTTGAAAATTCACCGATTATATCGAGGTTGTTGAATTGAATGGCTGCTATTTGAAGTGGTTGACCACCGTGACCGGGACAAGAACCGCTGACAAAAGTTAATTCTACGCTAATTAAAGCTTCCGTATCGGGTATGACGGGGGAAACGGCGTGGAGAACGGGTGAAGACACCATGTTAGAGGGCATGTACATAGGAGATGTTACTCCCGTATTGAATTGTGGAGGAGATGCTGCGGTTGAAAAAAAAAATCATCATTATTTTGAAAAAGTAATAATTGAAGTATTAAAGATATCACAAACCCATTCGCATTACCTTTATGTTGTAAGTGATTGACGGCTTGGGTGAAAGCGTTCGGAGATATGAGGTTTTCTATGGGTTCGGGCGATCCCGGAGGAATGGGAGAAGTCGGTTCACTATCTCTTATACTCCCACTCAGACTATCAATGCTGAAATAAGAATGTTTTTTTTTTCGAGAAGGTAAATAAACCATTCGTGAAAAACGCTAAACAGGTTAATAATAAAACGTACACGACATGTTTATGAGATGCCACTAATAATTCGAAATCGCGTCCAAAAGTTTGCAAAGCATCTACCAAAAGCAGCGAGTGCACGCTGAGAGTTACTGAAGTATCGAATGGTCGTATGGTCGAAGCAGCTCTAACTCCGCTCACTTGCAATTCCGCTATGCTTCTATTCCTCGATTGTACCTGAAATAAATATTATTCACTCGTCATTTAAATTAAAATTTTTTTCCTACAGAATTTTCTCATTTTCTGATACGACTTTACCTCGAGAGCTAAATGCTGAACCGTGAATTGCATTATAATCAACTTCGATATTTCATTCATGCGATCTTCAAAAATATTTTCATCCTGACAAGTTTCATTTTTCCCCTCCGATTCGTTATCGACAAAAGGTTCGGATGATCGCAGAGGAGAAGGAAGTCCTTGATCGGTCATCATTGACAAAATCGCTCTTAGAGCGGAAATTTTTTGCTCGTTGACGTGCACGACGAGACGAGGCAAGTTACCAAAAAATGTTAAGCTGGGAAATTGAGGATCCGTCGTATGAACTATTCTTCGCTCCACCTTCGAATCATTCCGACAATTACGCATTCAATAAATTTTCAACTTTTTTTTTTACATCTGCACAAAGAGCCATTTTACTTTTTCTAATTTACCCTACCTGTAGTGATATATTAAACCTATCCAAAACGTGTAGAGTCGATGTTCCTTTCAAATGAGCATACTTCCAATTATCTCTCACTTTTCCAACCAAAACTTGCATATCGCTCAACTCCAATTCGTAACGGTCGTAGAGTTTATTATGCAATATTAATTCATTTAGGGATGATCTTTTCATGCTCTGAGGTTCGAAAAAGGTAGGACTTGTCCCGCTACCGGGTGGCGTCGAACAGGGTGTTTCGTACGCTTCTGAAAAATCAATAAAAAATTATATATAATTAATGACGATCTAATTTTTTTTACTTTACTTTTAGTTAATATGCTTGTAAAGAACATTCTATACCTTCGTCGTCGCTTTCTTTCTTAATTAATTGTTTTTGATTAACGTTATTACAATTGCTAAAATGCAGGTGACCAAAATCAACAACGACAATCACAGCGTTCTTATCACAAAAATGTTCCACGAATATTATTTGAGGTGCGGATATGTCCAAATCTATTTCCCAAGTTTTTCTATTACTCTATAAAATTCAAAAAAAAAAAAAAAAAAAAACAAACAAACCATTAAAAATAAAAATACTTGGCGTTATGTAACATTAAACGACGTGATATACTTTTAGAAAAACAATCGAGACAAAATAAATAATAATAATGATTGAAAAATCGGTCCCTGCCTAACTACCCAATAAACATTATTATTTTACACGTCGGTATATCACGCCTAATTAAAAAAAAAAAAAAAAAAAAAAAACATTAAATATAGAGAAAGACCGTTAAAATTGTTTGTTACAACACAACATCAAATTATATCCAAAAAAAAACCAACACACAGGGCTGTTAAACAGGGACTTCACAGACATTTAACAAACAAGCAAGGGTTTCAATGAGAGATTCGTTTAACAACCTGAATATCAACATCGGCTTTTATGCTCCACTTGGGAGCTTCCTACAAAAGTAAAAACAAAAAAAAAAGAAAAAAAAAAAAAAAAAAAAAAGAAAAACGAAAAAAAATTATTTTTTAATTTTTTTTTTTTTTTTTTGGGGTCGGAGGGGAGAGGGGGGGGAATAAAAAAAAGAATCCACACTCACTAAATCACCGGCCAATATTTTTTCCCAATTTTTAATCAATTCGTTTTTAGTGGCCGCCTTGATCGCCTGATATTTCTTTCTGGCTGCTGCTCTTAAATTTGTATTCGTCGTTTGATGAAGAGGTTTTGTAAAAAAATCAGTTAACCAATTTATCGCTTCCGGATTGTAAACGATGTCGAGAGATTGAGTTTTCATTAGTATTCTGTAAAAAAAAAAAAAAAGAAAAACCATTTATTTCTCTTCCTTCTAATAATAATGGCGGCTTGATAAATAGGAAGAAAATTTCATTTACCTATAGTCAGCATTACTGTTAAGGGGTTTAATTTCATAAGATAATTGAAAAAGTGTTTCATCCGCGGATTTTGTACCACCGCTGGGACTCGATATAGCATGGCTAAGCAATCTTGACAAATTTTGTGTTATGGATCGTTTCGGTTCACCGCAGGGAAATCTATCATGAATTTGAGGAGACACCAACATCTTGCAATTGAGAAAGAAAGACGTTTTGAATGTATTTTTATAAGTTTTAAAATATTTTCACTTTACGAATATTATTTATTTGTACCGGAAAAACTGTTTCTTTGGTCAATCTATCTTTGAGATAAATGCTTCCTAAAGACAATGTTGTTTTGTATGAATTCGTTCTGGGTCGATATTCGAATCCAACGAGAACTTTTTCAAATTGGAGTTCCATAATTGATCTGAAACTAATAAATAAATTCAACTTATCAAATTGATAAGTTTAAACTACGATCGCAAAACATTGCACATTGAAATTATCAATTATTAATGCGTATGCATGTATAATTACTGAATTTTTTTATGTTCGAAAATAGCAGTGCACAAATTAATAGTTCCTTGTTTCAGTGAAAAATTAAAATGGCCGAAAACGACGTCTCTTTTAAGGAAAGTCGTGTCGCTAGAACCCGCGAAAACATCAATGATATCTTCATCCAAACTGGTCAGCCTTGTGTTTATTTCAGGGGTTTGAGAATCCGTTAGAGACGTCGAATACCACCACTGTGGAAACCACGTTGAAAGAAAATTCTTTTTCCCCGAATCAACTATTTTTGAATTAGAGGAAGGAGGAGGAGGGGGAGGACTAGCACGAAACATTGCAATTTCTCGTAAAATTTTAAGTTCGTCAAAAGTGAACTCGTATTCAATTCGAACCATTGTTTCCCTTTCTTCTTCCGTTAGAGATTTTGAACGATTGGAAGAACATAAAACTTTACTGAAAATTTTTACATAACTAACATTATCTTTTATCCTGAAAAGAAAAAAAAAAAAGAAAGAATATAAAATTCATTTTTATAAGTAATGAGGTGGTTGAAAAAATTTTCTTATTATTATTATCTAATATTCTTTTAACCTTTTTAATAATATATCCAAAGAATATCTATGAGGCCTGATTTGGTGTAAAACAGCTAAGTAAGCATATTTCCACCATGCCCTGGGGTCTTCGAAAACCGAAACTTGAGGACGGAATTTGTGATTTTTTATTCGAGTGCTAATTATTGCCACTCCTCTCAACCAATGTATCATTTGAGAATATTGCCTCTGAAAATCATTAATTTCTTTTCATATTTTCTCAAAATAAAAAAAGGGAAAAACAATCTTAGGATATACTGACATCACTGATTCTGATAGGAAATTCGTTGAACAAAACATCACAAACTATTCTTGGTGTTGATTTTGATCTTAAAGGTTCTGAACTCCTGTTCCTCTTTATGCGTGCAATACCAGAAACATGGTTCAATACGAAATGTTTGCCTCTATAAGCCACTTTACCCATAAATTCCTGATAAATAAATTAAAAAATTATTAATCGCATGTAAGTGGGTAGCCTATAACAATGTCTAAGCATTGGGTAAAATTAAAAAAGGAAATCAGGCAATGCATATATATATTTCATTTCAAAACTTAATTAATGATCATTTAATCATCTTGAAAAATTACAAAATTCCTTTTTTATTATTGCCTCCAGCCATTTCCTGAAATTCATCCATTCGAATAGTTTAAGTTTATCATTTTAAAAATTTAGTCGATCAAAATCAAACATCATACAATCTTATCAAATCAATCAGTCGATAATATGCTTGCAATTTTAATACAGCAAAAACAAAGATTAATAATTCAAATTAATAATTTTTCACAGAGAAAACAAAAGAAACTTAACCTATTCAACTTGGAAAATAAATTGTGAAAAAAATTCAAAGAAAAATAAGTTGCAGAATGTAAGTCTGACTAAAAACTCTTTTTTTTTTCATTTTGCTTACATTGCCTGATCATCACTGTAATATTTATAAATATAATTATTAATTCATATATTTTTTATTCTTACCATAAAATCTGAATCATCTTTTTTTGCAATCAAATCCGAAAGTGTGCTATCATCCCAGTAAATTGAAAACCTACAAAGTTCAACAATTTTGTAACCTATGGGACCAGAATCAAAACCTGGGTCCCAATTTTCATTGCAACTTTGAGCGACCAAGCTGTCAATGGCAAGACCAAAAGTAAAACACTGATCAGGAATACACATATTGTCTTCATATCGTAAGTGAACGTCAGTAATATTTAGCTGTAACATAATTCACAAGAAAAATAATAAAATGTTCTTTTTAAACTATTATTACCCATCATTTGAAATCAAACATTAATGAAAACAAAAATGTAAAATAAAAATTATAATTTTATTATGTGATGATGTTGGGAAAATGAGCATCTATATAATATATATATTTACTTAATTTACTTGTACTTGATAGTTTTGAGTTAGAATACTTCTAATAATAAAATTATTAATGTCTTAAAAACTTTTAATGTCGGAAGGAAATATTATTAATAAAATACCTTGAAAAATTCTGCTTCTAAATGTAATCGTTCTCCAATTAACAGCCAAAAAACCAACGACAACAATGACTTCAAAACAAAGGAAACTATTAGAAATCAGGGAATATTGAGCTTTAAAAGATATGAAAGACCAGTTAAAAATTACTTAGGAACTAAATTAACTTAGTCTCTATAGGGAAATAGTGCCTCTGTTCCAGGCTACATACTTATTACTTTAAATTAAAGTTTCAATTTTCTGTGTGTGTCTTTATAAAGTAGGCCACTATTGATAAAAGTCGAAAACTTTTAAGAGTATTAATTTTTGAATGATTAAAAATAAGTATTTTATTTACCTGTAGGTTTTCTACAATGTTGGTAATTATGGATGTACCAAAGTTCAACCAAGAAGAATAACTTGATGCATAATAACTTTGATCCTGATTTTCAATAGTTGCTCTCCATTGGGCTTCTAATGCATCCAATGCATTCATTTTTTGTTCGTGTAAAGCTTGTATTTCAGCTTCTTCGTCCCACTTTAAATTAATATGATGATAATAATTTTTAAATATATATTTAAGATAATAAAAAAAAAAATGGGTTTTAATATTGTAAATTACCTCATCTAAATTAATGGGACCAGCCACCAAATAAAGTTTTTCTATAAGAATCACCCATGGCGCAGTTCTTATATTACGAATGGGTATTTGAAGTTTAACTTTTCCTATAAATCCAGCGTTTATTTGTATAGGTAGGCCAGCTTGACGTAATGCTTCTTTTTTTAACGGAAGGTTTTCTAATTCTACCTGACCTATAAATAATATGATATCGTTTCTTATATAATATCTTAAATTAACTTTTTTTTGTTGTTTTTTTTTTTTTTTTTTGGAAATGATATAAAATGAATAATTATTTCAATGACTCTAATTAATAACTTTAGAAAACTTTTTACCATAAATATAAATAGCGATGACAAAATAGATGCATCATTCGAGACAATCAAATGTCGTAAAAGTTAAATAAATTAAAATTATTATTTAAAAAAAAAAGGTAAAAAATAAACTGCGTTCTTAAGTATTAATAAATAAGTACATAATATATGATTAAATATAATCAATCTAGCTTTCTATTTACCTTCTAATAACCCTATGCTTAGTTGATCTGTGTTTAAATTTTCTACATATTTGCCTAAATAATATTTTAAAACCCATGTTGCCAGGCCTTCAAGCATGGTATTTAGTAAAAATTCAAAACGACTAATTTAAATTTTTTAAAAAACATTTTTTTTTATCTTTCTATGTGGTAATAAAATTTATCATGTTTATTCCGTGTAATCAGAAACTATCCCACGTGACAATGTACCATATATGCCATCTCACACTTAAAATAAATATAATTACATAAAACTTTGAAAAATTTTAATAAAAATTCAACTATTTTAAATTTAGATATCTCGTAAATAAAAAATAAAAATTTTGAATTGAAATCAAAGCGATAATTCAACTTAAAAAAAAATTGTCAAATTTTTTGTTAAGTGCAGAAAAAGCTCTCGATATATGTAAACATTCACTTTCCGGTTAAAATTATAAAAAATGGCTCCGAGACCGAAAAACCGAAAGGATAATTTTCCAATATATTTTTCTATTAAAAAATTTTTTGATACTTATATAAATTTGAATTTTTTTAAATTGATTCTAACAGATCCATCAAATTTATTTCCAGTAGCATGTTTTTTATTATTAGCAGAAATATTCATTAATTTTTTTATTGTCAACTACATTAATTATACGGAAATTGATTGGAAAGCATATATGCAAGAAGTGGAGGGATTTTTAAATGGAACTTTCGATTATTCTCTTCTAAAAGGTAAATACATACCTTATACATAACCTAATCATTGTGATTAATTATGATATTTAACTAATATATATTTTTTTTTTTTTGTCTATTTATAGGTGACACCGGACCTTTGGTGTATCCAGCTGGCTTCGTTTGGATATTTTCGGGTAAGTTCAATAATAAATTTTTTTATTAATCATTTTAGTTTAAAACAAAATTTATTTTACAGGTTTATATTTTTTAACAAGTAAAGGTGAAAATATTCTTCTCGCTCAATATATTTTCGGAGTGTTATATTTAGTCAATTTAATACTTGTATTGAGAATATACATAAAATCAAAAAAATTACCTCCTTACGTTTTGATTTTAACTTGTTTGACTTCTTACAGAATTCATTCGATATTTGCTCTCAGATTGTTTAATGATTCAATAGCTGTTATTTTGTTGTATGCATCATTAAATGCATTTTTAGATTTCAAATGGAACTTGGGTAGTTTTCTATACAGTTTAGCAGTTTCTGTTAAAATGAATATTTTGCTTTTTGCACCTGCTTTGCTCTTAGGATACCTTACAACATTAGGCTTGAAAGAGACGCTTAAACAGTTAGCTATATGTGCCGGATTGCAAATAATTCTTGCTTTACCCTTCTTATTAACAAATCCAATCAATTATATTTTAAATGCTTTTAATTTAGGAAGAGTATTTTTATACGAGTGGACTGTAAATTGGAGATTTCTACCAGAAGATATTTTTTTAAGTAAAAAATTTCACATAACTTTACTGTTGCTACATTTGTTACTTTTAGCTGTTTTTTACAAAACGTCTGCCTTATATATGAAAAGTTATTCCAAGTTAAAAAAATTAGAAAAATATATAAAACCACAATTGAAAAAAAAATTAACTTTTAACATGAGTACTTCATCTCAATTATTTCTCATGCCAATGTTTTTATCGAATTTTATCGGAGTTTCTTGCAGCAGATCATTACACTATCAATTTTACATATGGTATTTTCACTCGCTGCCATTTTTATTGTGGTCAACTCATTATTCGATCCCGACAAGACTTTCAATTTTAGGTATAATTGAATTATGTTGGAATACTTACCCTAGCACTACCATGAGTTCTTTATCTCTTAATATTTGTCACATGGCTATTTTATATGGCATATATAAAACTCAATCGATACTATCTGATCAAGTATCAAAAATTGAGGCGAATAAATAAGGAAAAAAATTAAATAGTTAAATCATTTGTTATTTTTTAATAATGTCTTTTATTAAAAAAAAATTATAAATATATATATTTTGATAAAAATTTACAATTTTATAACAAAAAATTTATAGTGCCTATAATATATATATAAAAATATTTAATATGTAATATAACAATACATAAAATATTAATGAAATATAAAGACTAGAAATAATTTAAATGATGCAACGTTATAATCTATCAATCAATCAATAATAATAATAATAATAATAATAATAATAATACAACTTTTTTGTACATTTTGTTTGATTTTTTAAACCCTTTGGTACAACATTAAGTATGTCGAATTAATATCTTTCGTAACCATAAAAGTCATTATAAATAAAAGTTCGAGTTTTAAGAAAACTAAAACCTAAATAACTTAAAATTAAAATAAATATATATAATTTAATAACTGTACTTTGATTTGAACTTGAAATGTAATAATAATGATATATTTTGTCAGCTTCTTCTGAATATATTAAAATAATTTGTTTTAATCATGGCGGATATTTAGTCAAAAGAGTTTTTCCAGTTTGAACTCCATTACTGTATAAGACTAATTTTTCCGATTGATAGTTTTTCACCATGTATTCAATAGAATCAAAACACTAAAAACATAATTACATATAGAAACATGTTTTTATTTTAAAAAAATTTGAAGTTATGTTTATGTGTACCTGTTCATTTGTCTTAGGTGTACCTAATGCAAATTTACCATCTTTTCTTTTTCTGATCGGAATGTTATATGTTCTATTGTTGTACCAAAGTGTTAATGTTAAATAAGTATCTGCATTTGATGACGGTCTGACCAAAAAGTATCCATCAATACCTGAAATTACAAAAGATGTCGTAGGAAAATGAAGGTGGTGCAAAAAAAAAAATTCTTCACATACCATTTCTTAGTATTTCTTCTCCTTTTTTCCTGTCTATTTTTTTGTACCAAGGCATTGATGTTACTTCAGACTTTCCTTCAGTCGGTGGCAGAGGTAACGGTCTCTGCCATTGGTTAACTGGCATTTGATGTTTTATCGATTCTCCTTCTGGTGATTCTAAAAAAAAAAAACTATTATCGATAAAATTGTAACTAGTAAGTTAGTATTTCATTTTTGTAAATCTGGGATGACGATAATTGAAAATTTTATTCAAATTCGACTAACACCATCATGATTGTTATTTCAAAATTTCATGAAAATTAACTTACCAACTGAAGATGAATTACTTCTCATCATTATTTTGTCAAATATTTCACCTAATTTTAAATTTTCATCCTTTCGAAACGAAAAAAAAAAAAAAAAAAGAAAAAGGTTTATTAATTACAAGATTCATTATTATTATCGATTATTATTATTATTATTTAATTGTAAATTTATCAAAAAGTAAATAATTCATTATTTTAAACTTACAATACTTTTCTTTAGAGTTGATCCATTCATATTTTTTGTCCCAGAGTTTATATCAGATGTTGATAATGATAATGGTTCTAAGTAACCATATGCATCTTCTTCACCATCACTATTAACAGTGTCATTTTTTTTAGGATTAAATTGTTTAGTTATTTTAGAAGGCACACTATTTACTTCATCTTTAATATCCAAATTAAGATCTTTTATAAAATTAGTAACATTTTCAGATCTAAATAAAAAAAAAAATAAATTTAAAATTATTTTTAAAACAAAAATGACCAAGCCCACTTTTTTTTTAAAACATACGAAAATATTTCTGGTGGTTTAGGTAAATGTTTAGAATTTAAAACGACCAAATTTTTAGGTCTGGCAGGTACAGGAGGTTTGTTAAGTCCTATTTTTCTCTTGTCCGACATTTCTAAAAATTCCTGATGAAATAATTAAAAATTTCCCTCGAGTTTCACTATACTAATTAAACTGTCAACAACACACGATTTTGTGTTACATAGAGATGATTATTAAAAGAAAACATAACGGAAATTTTTTTTTTTTAAATAAAAAGACGAGAAATTTTTTTAATGTATAACTGAAATCGTGTAACGCTAATTCTACTTATAACATTTTTTTTTAAAAATTCGTTATAGTTTAAAATATAAATGACTTGGCGTAAAAACTAAGAAATAAACTTTAGATAAAAAAGGCAACAGTGCATAGCTGCAGATTCACAGCCTTCTTTATTTTATTCATTCTGCTGGAAGCATTTTTTAGTAAATAAGTAGAGAATCGGTATTTCTGTCATGTGAATAATTTATTTTTATAAAATTTTACTGAATTTGCCGTGTTAAAAAGTATAAAACATGGCTCTCGCTGGTTTTATAGAATTTTTTCAAAAGGGAAAGGTAATTAAATAAAATTTTAATGCATTTTTTTTAAAAAAAAAATTATTTATTTAAAATTTGTTGTAACTGATTATTACAACACTTGTACTTTTGACAGTCGTATCGTCTTTTTTTTTAACTGTTTGAAAAATTTATACAAAAACAATATTTAGTTATCGTTCTTCAATGTTACAAATCGTCATTTATAACAACGGTTTTTTTTAAAACATCTTTTTATATATTTAATTTAAATTTATTTGCTTTTATAACGGTTCGATTCGTTTCGACTTGGCAAATTTTTTTTTTTTTTTTTACTGTGCAATTTACCTTGAGGTAAGGTCAAATGTTAAATGCGCATTTCAAATGCAATTTATTTACTTTTATTTATTTATTTGATTTTAGACTTTTAGACCTAGAAAAAAATTTACACCAGGTACGCTAAGGTATTCTTTACACAAACATGCTCAAGCTTCATTAAATTCAGGCATAAAATTAAGTTCAGTCGTTAAACTTCCACCCGGAGAAGAATTGAATGATTGGATTGCAGTTCATGGTGTGTTGATATTTTTCTTTTCTTTTCTTTCCTTTTTTTTTTATAATAATGATAATAAGTTTTTATTTTTATTTTCAGTCGTAGATTTTTTTAACAGAATTAATCTCATTTATGGTACAATATCGGAATGGTGCACCGAAACTACATGTCCGACAATGTCTGGCGGACATAAATTTGAATATTTATGGGCAGATGGTGCCAAATATAAAAAACCCACACCTTTACCAGCTCCCCAATACATTAGTTTATTGATGGATTGGATCGAAGCTCAAATAAACGATGAAACTCTTTTCCCAGTGACCATGGACATACCTTTTCCGAAAACCTTTCAACCTCTTTGCAAAAAAATATTAACAAGGTTATTTAGAGTTTTTGTTCACGTTTACATACATCATTTTGATAGGATAGTAACAATCGGTGCAGTAAGTTTTCCTCTCTCTCTCTCTCTCTCTCTTTAGGATTATAAATTTTAAATTTGGGATAAATAATGTATTTTGTGTTTGTGTTTTTTAGGAACCTCATGTCAATACTTGTTACAAACATTTTTATTATTTTGTTAAAGAATTTGAATTGATCAGTAACAAAGAATTGGAACCGTTGAAAGAAATGACTCAAGTGATTTGTAGGGAAATACCATCATAAGGAAATAAATTTTTTTTTTTATAAATAATCTAACACGCAGACTGATAATAATAACCGCGAATGATTTTATACTTTTTAAATAAAATCATTCTTAATTTATTTTCTTTTACATATTGGGGAAAAAAATCGAATTTTGTATTTTTTTACTTATGGAAAAATTTTTGCGAAATGAAAGAGAAAGTAAATAAACGATAGGTACCATTTTTAGTACTCATCATTGATAATGATACCCATTTTAAATGATTGGTATGTTAATTACGATTTAAAAATCACTTTTTACAAAAAAGGATTCAGAGTAGTTTATTATTTTTCATAATGTAAAAGAAAATAACTTTAATTTATTTATAATTCTTATTATTCGTTTGCAAGGAATTTCATGTCTTTTAATTAATAATAATAATAATGAGTGGTTTGTACCTAACATCACAGGTTTTCGTCTGTTGCAATAATTAGAAAGCACATTTCTAATGATGTAATAATTTAACACTGAGTAAAATTTTTCATTGTGCAAATGATAAAAATAGGGTGAAAATATATAAATAACCAAAGAAATAAACCGTTAATTATAAATTAAAATATTAAATAAATAATTAATAAAATAATGATGATAATAATAATAATGATGAATGATTTAAATAATGTTGTAATCGAGTACAAAAATATTTAATTTAATGTGCCATAATTTTTTTTTTAAATTCGAAATTAAAATATATTTATATTTGTGATTAAATTTAAACAAATGTAAAATGATAAAGAGAAAGAGAGAGATAGAGAGAGAGGGGGGAAAAAAGGAGCCTTTTTATGTAGGTTTGTCGTACCTGAATTTTGAAAAAAGCACCAAAAAGACATATTATTAATTTTTGAGTCGCAAAAGAAAAAATTTTTTTTTTTAAATGAATTTTTATTATTATTATCATTATCATTTAAATCAATGTTTAGTTAATTATTTATTTTATTATTATTATTATTATTATTATTATTATTATTATTATTATTTGTGATTATTTTATTTCAATGGCAATTTAATTATTATTTTTTTTTAGCTTTAAATTATTATTATTTTTTTATTTTTTTATGTTTATTATTATTATTATTGATAAAAATAAAACACCAAAGATTGTGTAAAAATAGTTGATGTATAGTTATTATTATTATTATTATTATTATTATTATTATTATTATTATTATTATTTATTCGAATAGAGTTGAAGAGATATGGTAATTGTGTCAAATAATGAATATTTTACTACCTCGAAAAAATTATGTTATAATAATTTTTTATTTGTTGCAATGCTTTGTATTGTTTGTTTTTCACCCCCCCGCCCCCTCCCCTCTATTTTTTTTGATTTTATTCGTCTTGTGATTAAATTGGGGTAGTACGTTCAACATCATTTCAAACGTTTTTATGTAAAATGAAAAACTCATAACGAATGATCTTGATGTATTTAATAATTGTTTGAATTATTATTTTATATTAATTTGGTATTTAAATATTAACAATTTGCTTTATTATTATTATTATTATTATTAATGAATATTTATTTTTATTAAATCCTGTATAATTAAATTTAGGGGTATGAGGGAGGGGGGAATTTTTTTTTTTTTCAAAGTCTTAAAATTAACACTTAAAAAGTAATTAAGGAATGAAAAAAATTTGTTTTTTTTTTTCCCCCCCCCCAAGGATTCCGATTTGTGTTATTTGTTATATTGTATGATATAATGAACCTAAATCACCTACTGATTCTTTTTTTTTTTTTTTTAAATATAATTCCTTCATTTTTAATTAATGGCCACATGTGTTAAAATGATTCATTTGAATAATTCTTTTGTTTCATGATGAATCTGTATTTAAATAATTATATTTATTAACTTGTGTCGAAAAAATCTTTAAGAAACTTTTAATTCATGAATTTGATGAAATAATTCAAGCGACTAAAATAAGTAAAAGTAATAGTTTGATTACAATAATAATGATAATGAAAATTTTTTGTGTGGGAATCAAAATCATGAATAAAATTCAGTAAGAAGGAAAGAGAAACTCATGTTGTTAACGTTTTGATAAATTACTAAATAATAATAATGATCATTTTTAATTACCAGACCTTGAAAATGTTGATACAACATTAAAAATTTTAAGTTTTTTTTTTACCATATGTAAATAACTAATGATGCATAAGGTTGAAATGAGCATTTTTTTTTAAAATTCAAGTAATTGTAGGTAATTTATAAATGTTTATCAAATAATAATTATCCTGTGTTAAATTTAACTGTAATGTCACTCGAAGAGTTAAAAATAAGCTTAATTAAAGACATTCTTTAACATGATTAACAGCTAATAAACATTACAAACGATTGTAATAATAACAACACAAATTTTGTTTCGATTATGTTTTAAATCAATTATTCTTCTTTCTACTTAAAATAAACTTACACAATATAATAATAAATAATTAAAGAAGTCATTTATCATGTTTTGTTTTGTCGAGAGAGTAGACAATGAAAAAGAAAAGCTTAATTTAAACTAATTTTATTTTGTTTTGAATTATAAAAAAAAAAAACACCTACTCGAAAAGTAATAATGATGTTAATCAATTCAAATTGAAAAGAAAAAAAGGTTCAAAAGGTAATTTATTATAACCTCGTTAATAAAATATACAAACGTAGGATTTGATATTTCAATTCGTACAATCTAATAACACTTACTTTGCATGAATTTCGAATTAAAATTTTGACAGGAATCATCAAAGTTATAAATAACTCCCAAAAATATATATGTAGTTGTCTAACCTTTGACACCGTACGTATGATTCACGGCCATTTTAAAATTTAAAAAAAAAATGAAACGGTTTAACGGTTAAAAAATATATACCAAACGATCGTTTCCAATTAATTTAACAGAAAAAAAAAATAATATTGAAAACAATTCTACAATATTATTATTCGAAACGTTCTTTTTTCATTTAACCCGTTTGAAAAAAAAACAAAAATAAAAAAAAAAAACGTTAAGATTTTTGAAAAACATTCGAAAAATATTCGAGTCATTGCTGCCAATGTCAAAAATGAAAACAAACAAAGTTAAAATTTTAAGCGCAATGTAACGTTTTTTCGGTATATCTGTTTCACAATTTTTTTTTTTTTTTTTTTTTTTTTTTTAAAATTATTTCGAGTGTAAATTATAAATTCCATGTTTAAAAAAAAAAAGTCAATATAATTAAATTTTACAAATGATTAAATTAAATATTTAAAAAAATAAAAAATCGTGTCATTAAAAAAAAAAATATGGGGGGCTCACAAAGTGCACCATGTAAAGAAACTCTTCAAAATCCAGATATATTAAACGTTGTGACTTTGTCTGATGCCGCCGTTCAAAGGCTACCATTGATAGCCGATGACAGTCCTACAGACAAAGAAAAAAGGTTGAAATTTATTATTTAATCCTACATAAATTAAAAATAAAAACATTATTAGTTTAACCCCATCCAACATAATAATAATAATAATTAATTGGTTGCTCTTAACAAAAACCTAAAAATGGTTGGAATGGTAACAAAAAACATGTTTTTTATTTTATATATATAAAATGATTATTTTATGTAAATGTTTCATGTTTATACTTTTATCTTGATATACAAATATTTTATTTTTAAAAAAATGAAATTATTTAATTGGAAAAAACAAGTTAATAATAATAATATCCTACACATAATATTCAAATGATTTAAATAAGATTGATATAAACACTCTAATATTATGTTTTTTTTTTTTTTTTTTTGCTAAATGTGGTAAAATAATAACTTTTTTAATTACCCATAATAATTTTTCATGTTATTTTTACTTATTTCTTACAAAATCATCATTAATAATAATAATAATTGTTAAAATTCAAGGTTTTCAAATTGTTTTGGTACTCACTGTGAGTGTGAGTGTCTTAGTTAAATTTTAAATGATTATTATTATTATTATTATTTATTTATTTTTTAATTATTATAAGTTAATAATCAAGTATAGAAAGATTAATTGATGTGTATACGTATTTATTTACAGGAATAAAAATATAGATGATTTTTGGCGGGATCGTTTACATTGCATAGATGACACATATTCAGAAGCTAAAAGAGTAACGGATAATGAATTCAATAGATTGGAAAATTCAATAAGGAGATTATCACCGGAACCGATAAAAGTTTCTTGTCCCAGATTGGTAGATGATGCTGGTACCTGTTATTTGACTAATGGAAAAGAACCATTGAAATGTACTCATTTGATAAAAAAATTTGAACGGTGTTTGGATTCGATTGTTGCCGAAGGAGCGAAAAGAAGACATTTAGATAGTATAAGAAGATCTAAAAAACCTAGCCATTGTAAAACCGATTAAAATGAATATATATAAAACAAACAAACAAACAAACAAAACAAACAAAACAAACAAACCTTGTATTTATAAGTGGCGCTTGAAAAAACCAAAAAAAAAAAAAATATTATATGTATATGTTATATCTACCTGATAGTTTAGACATTGGCTTTTCTCTATTGGTTGGTTCGGGGGGAGGAGGTGGGTGGGTGGGTGGGGTAGGAGGAGGAGGAGGCAAAAATTAAAGGCATTATTATTCCCTTATATATTATATTTGTAATTTCGGTTATTTTTTCGTTGTTGTTATGATACCCTTCGATATGTCGTCTCCACTCCTAATGTTTTGGTGTTCCTCATAAGGTGTGTGACTTTCTTCGGACGTGTGGGTTCTTTTGATTTTCTATAAATCCGTGAATCATCCCACGCAATGGAATCAGTTGATGATAAATTCTTAGATTGTCCGGTACGGATTTCTATATATCTATACATATCACACTAATGGCCTCGATAATATTAAAAAACGCTCTTGTTTTTTTTATTCAACTGGGTTTTGCCACTGGGTTGTTATATTCGGGTGAGTTTTTTTTTTTTTTTTTTTTTTTTTAATCAAAAAATTAATAAATAAATAAAATAAAACTTTTTATTTTTTTTTTTTACTTTATTGTAAATCTTTCACGTCTATTTACTAACGATAATAATAATAATAACTATATGATAATTAGTGATTTAACATTTGATGATTAAAAATAATTTTTATATATTTTTTTTATTTTGTTTGTTTTAGTAATAAATGAATTTCATTGCGTTATTGAAGTTTTCAATTGAAAAATAATATTATTAATAATAATAATAATAATTAAATATATATAATTATTTAAATAAAAAATAAATAAATAAAAAATAAAGAAGAAGAAAAACTTTTTAAAAGTTTTAAAACTTTGTACTGCTCAATTTTTTAATGTAATAATGATGATAATTTTCAATTTAATGTAGTAATAATAATAATAATAATAATAATGATGATGATGATATATTAAGTAATATTTTCAATACAAGATAGATAGATAGATTTAAAGTAGGAGGAGAAGAAGGAGGAGGAGGTTATTACGTCATTAAATGTGTATCATGTTGACCGTTGTTGAAAACTACCCAGATAGATAGATACCTGTACGAATACTTTTATAGTTTATAATTTTTTTATGTAACCTTGAGAAGTGGTAACATGCCAACCACACGCCTACAAGAGGTTGACCACCCGATCACGACGATGATCTAATTTAATTCATAATTATTTATGTTTCAACAAATATTTTTTTGTATGAAATCGCCCCCCCCCTTTTTCACATCCAAACGGATGTGTCAATATTATTATTATTATTATTACGTTATTTTTCTTTTTTGGAAATTGTTTAACATCAAATGAAAATTCTTTAACATTTAATTATTACATTTAAAATCTATATTTAACTCCTACTTTAAAAAAAAAAAAATACATCCCATGTTAATTGACGGTTTGATTATAAAAATTTAATACAAAATGGCGGCTTTTTTTTTCGGTTGTTTTTTTATTAAAAGGAGAAAGATTATACGATGATTTATTCATACCCGATTTAACTTCGGCTTGTTTGGGATGCATATGCGAAGCAACGACAAATTGTAATTTAACAATCGGATGTTCTGGAGATTTATGCGGACCTTTTTTCATATCGAAGGATTATTGGGAAGACTCTGGATCACCCGTTCTTTATGGGGATCATCCCTCAAGAAAGGGTGCTTATAAAACTTGCGTTAATGATCCATATTGTGCTGCTACCACATTAAAACAGTATATTTTTAAATATGCTCAAGTGAGTTTTCCTTATTTATTTATTAAAATTTACAAAATGGCTACCGGTATAATATTAATAAATTTTTTTTTTTTTATTGTCAGGATTGTAACGGAAATGGATATTTAGATTGTGATGATTATGCAAGAATTCATTATTTAGGTGGTCGTCAATGCAGTTTACCTATTTATCATTATGGCTATTATAAAGTTTTCAGATATTGTCAAATTTCAGTTAATTTATTAAATTGAGAAAGAAAGACTTATTAACTTTTTTTATTATTAAAAAATTTAAATAATTTTTAATAAATTTCAATTATTTATTTATTAAATTTGTTTCATTTCATCTTATTCGAAGTAAATGAATTGTATATAAGAGTAAAATTAAACTTAATTTACTCGACAAATGAAATGTCGTTAACAAAATGGCAAAATTTAAATGGAATGGATAAAATAGTAATAATGCAAAAGAAATTATTTCTTTTTTCCAATATATATATTAACTCTATTGTAATAAAAACATTGTTTTTTATGTGTAACAAAAAAAATTTAAAAAAAAAAAAAAAATGAAACACAAATAATAATGATTTTTTTTTTTTTTAAAAAGAAAAAATTTTATATTAAATAAAATTATTTAAATTTTATTAAAGGCAGCAATATCGACAGATTGTACATAGTCTTCAAATTTTTCAATTTCTTCGACGAGTACATCAACTGAAACTTTTTCATCTTCAACAACGCACATAATTTGTAACTTGTGAATTCCATAACCGACAGGCACTAATTTAGATGCACCCCAAACCAAACCATCCATTTCGATTGTTCTAACATTTTTCTCCATTAATTTCATATCAGTTTCATCATCCCACGGTTTAACATCTAATATGATGCTAGATTTTGCTATGACTGCTGCTTTTTTAGATTTTTTCTCATTGTATGCTTTTAATCTTTCCTCTCTAATTTTTTCCGCTTCTTTATCCTGTAATTAAATTTTGAAAATATGGGAAATAAATTTAAAATGTAATTGATTAAATTTATAATAATGGAAAAAAAAAAATGAAAAACTTACTTCTTCTTCGTCTGAAGCAAATAAATCAACATCATCATCATCATCTCCTTTACCATTACTGACGTTGTTTACGCTGGTTGTTTTAAAACCAGTTCCAGCTGGAAATTTTTTCCTTTCATCGTTATTAAATGATTTTATGTGATTATACCACCTTAAAGCATTTGGAGTATCGGATCCTGGAGCTTTTCCCATCGAATCAAACGCTTTGACATCATCTTGCGAAGGCTCGTAACTGTAAGTTTAAATCCATTCATTCAATAAAAATGTTGACCACATGTTTCGAAAAGAAAAAAAAAAATAATAATACGTGAAAATATTATTTACGTCAAAATAATAATTAAATCTCACCCGGATATGTAACTTTTATCTTCCAAATAAGAATTAAGGTCTTTGACACCTTTTGGCGTTTTCAAATCACCGATACTCATTGCTAACAAATTAAAAAAAGGAAAATTACACAGAAAAATAAAACCCCAGTTTTACTTGTTCTTAATCAAGGTGTAAGAGAAGGAACGTAACCCATTGTAAAGTTGGCAACACTGATTTAACGTTAGGGAAATTTCATTTGCTTTTATGCACTACTGTAAAAAGTCTTAACGTCTGCTATCATTGAAGGTTCATATTTTTATTAAAATGTAATATATATTATTTATCAAAATTTTGATTTATATTTTTTTTTCGCCTGTATATTGTCTTCTATCTAGATTTTAAGTATTTTATTTTTTTTTTAAATAGGTTGGTTTTTTTTTAATTATTTTTAAATATATTTTTATTCGTTTTAATCTCTGACGTTTTTTTTTTTTTTTAATATAATTTTTTTATTTTTATTTTATCATCATCAGCAACTTGAATTTAACATATTTTTATTTAATTTTTCCAGGTTTAAAAATGTTGAGATTGCCTTTAAACGTACCTTTTTCTCGAGCCCTGAGTGGTCCTTTTATAAATTTATTTATAAGGGGAACTGCCACAAAGGCTCCAGAAAAAATCGAAGTATTTATCGATGACATACCTGTAATGGTTGAACCAGGAACTACCGTTTTGCAAGTAAGTATAAATTTTTATATTTTTTAAATATTAAACACAATTTAAAAAAAAAAAAAAAAAAATTTCATAATTTTATTAAAATTTATTTTATTTTTTTTTTAGGCAGCTGCTATGGTCGGCGTTGAAATTCCAAGATTTTGTTATCATGAAAGATTGTCTATAGCTGGAAATTGTAGAATGTGTCTTGTTGAAGTTGAAAAATCTCCTAAGGTAAATATAAACTTTTTTTTTAAATAAAGCATAATATTTTTATAATAATCTAAAGTATTAAGTAAAAAAATTGTCATCGCAAACTTGAATTTATGTAGTAAAAAAATATTTTAGCCAGTTGCTGCCTGTGCCATGCCAGTAATGAAAGGATGGAGAATAAAAACTAATTCAGATATGACGAGAAAAGCAAGAGAAGGAGTTATGGAATTTCTATTAGTTAATCACCCCTTAGATTGTCCCATTTGTGACCAGGGAGGTGAATGTGATCTTCAAGATCAGAGTATGGCTTTCGGAAGTGACAGGAGTCGTTTCACAGATATAAATTTTAGCGGCAAAAGGTTTTCCCCATTTTTTTTTTCTTATAATATGTTAACATGTTTTTACAATTGAGTGAATTTTATCATTTTCCAGAGCTGTAGAAGATAAAGACATTGGTCCACTTATAAAAACAATCATGACTAGATGTATACATTGCACAAGATGTATAAGATTCGCATCTGAAGTCGCTGGAATTGACGATTTGGGAACAACCGGTAGGGGATCAGATATGCAGGTATGTTTTATGAAAAATTCAATAAACAAAATCAATTCTTTATATTATCCAATCCAGATGATTGATCTGATCTGTTTTGGTGAATCAAATAGGTTGGAACATATGTTGAGAAATTTTTCCTATCGGAACTGTCTGGAAATGTTATCGATTTATGCCCTGTTGGAGCTCTCACTTCGAAACCATATGCTTTCAAAGCAAGACCCTGGGAAAACAGAAGAACTGAAAGTGTAGATGTTTTGGATGCTGTGGGTAGTAACATAATTATTTCTACAAGAACCGGAGAAGTTTTAAGAATTTTGCCAAGGCAAAACGAAGTAATCCAACGGTTAATTTACACAAATTCTTCAAGTACAAAAATATCAAATGATTTGATTTGATTTTTTTTTTTCTTTTCTTTCAGGAAATAAATGAAGAATGGATATCCGATAAAACTAGGTTTGCCTGTGACGGATTGAAAAGGCAAAGACTCGTCACACCAATGATAAAAAATAGCGAGGGTGATTTAGTCAATTGTCAGTGGGAAGATGCATTAACTTACGTGGCAGAAAGAATCAAATGCGTTTCCGGTGACAAAATGGCGGGATTGGTCGGACCTCTCGTCGATGCGGAATGCATGATAGCTTTGAAAGATTTTTTGAATAAATGCGGTTGCGAGACTTTATGCACCGAAAATAGTTTTCCAATGTTGGGATCGGGAACTGATTTCCGGTCTAATTACATAATGAATAATACAATTGCCGGTGAGTATGTGACTGAACATATTTAAAACGGCCAACGTTGGTTAAGAATTAATTTTTTTTTTCTTTTTTTCCAGGTATCGAAGAAGCGGATTGGATACTTTTAATCGGTACGAATCCACGATTTGAAGCTCCACTCGTCAACACGAGAATTCGTAAGAGTTACATACAAAACGAAACGAATGTGGCTTTGATTGGGCCTAAAGTAGACCTGACCTACGACTACGAACATCTCGGCAACGACGTCGAACTCATAAACGAAATCAAATCGAAATCTCATCGTTTTTGGAAAACTTTGAGTTCGGCGAAAAGACCCATGATCATAATAGGAGCAGAACAACTCAAAAGACCAGACGGAGGAGTTTTACTCACGAGCGTTCAGTCATTGTGCGAAGAACTCGGAAAAACCGTCGGCGTAATAATTCATAAAACTTTTTAATTTTCTTTTAATTAATCAGTTTAATGATTTTGTTTTGTAAATTTAAAGGTGAGCCACGATTGGAAAATATTAAACGTTTTGCAAACATCAGCTTCGCAAGTTGCCGCCTTGGATTTGGGTTACACGCCTGGACCGGAAATTATAAAAAAATTAAAACCCGAATTGTTGTACATGGTCGGAGCCGATGAGAAAACGATAACCAAAAAGGATTTAGCGAAAGATGCTTTCGTTATATATCAAGGTTGCGTTGCGGATTGATTTGTGGTATAAATCACCGCGTGATCAAGAATAAAAATTTTTTATATTTTTTTTTTTTAGGTCATCACGGTGATGCGGGAGCTTTAATGGCGGACGTTATTTTACCAGGGGCCGCGTACACGGAAAAACAAGCGTCTTACGTAAACACGGAAGGAAGAGCTCAACAGACGTTAACCGCCATTTCTCCTCCCGGTTTGGCGAGAGTCGATTGGAAAATAATAAGAGCTATTTCGGAGGTTTGTCTGATTTTGACGACTGTTTCCCCCCCCCCCCCCAAAAAAAAAAAAATTGCGATATTTGAAATGATCGAATTGGTTTTTTAGCTCGCTGGAAAAACATTACCCTACGAGGATCTCAACGAGATTAGAGAACGTCTCGGAGAAGTTTCCCCCAATTTAATACAATACGGTGTCGTTAATCCGGCTAATTTTCTAAACTTGTCGTTACAATACTCTAAAGTACGTAATTTCCGGTTCTAACGGTTTTTGATTATCGAAAGGGGAATAGAAAAAAAATTGTTATTTACCTTTCTTTTGTAGAAATGTTGTCCGTCGTCGTTGAAAAAAGGTTCGATGGAAGTGAAACAAATGAAATTGGAAGATTTTTTCATGACCGACGTCATTAGCAGAGCTTCTCCGACAATGGCCAAATGCGTTCAAGCCGTTTTAAAACAAAAAGAATCCAAGTATTAATATAAAACGTAGATAAATTTATCAATAAATTATCGTTCCGGGTAGTTGAATTAACTTCAAAACGAATCACATTAGAGAAAATAATTCGAACGTTTCCTCTTTTTTTTTTTTTTTTTTTTTCTGTTTTTTTTATTTTTTTATCGTCATTATTATCATTACTGGAAAAAAAGTTCAGAAGGGATACAAACGGAAAAATATATATATATATATATATAGTAAATACTTGTAAAAGAAGGCAGTGAAGATTCCATTAAAAAAAAAATATTTATTATTATTATTATTACGGTTTTTTTTTCGAAAATATAAGAAAATCATTGATTTATTATTGATTGATTATTATCATTATCGGATTTTTTTATATTAGTTGTCAAGGATTGTATAAATAATAAAACGATTGAAAAAAAAAAATTAAATTAAATAAATTTTATTATTTATTTTTTTACATAAAAAATTTCAATTTCCGGTGTTTCGACGACGACGATAGAGATCACATCCGTTATAACCGTCCACGCAATAAAGTGTCATTAACGAAGAGAAAAGCGCGCCAAAATCGAAACATGACACGTTTTAATTTATTTCCCTCATTACAAAACGTACCGCCATTTTTGTTTTGTTTTGTTTTGATTTGTTTAAAATAAAACGTTTAAAAGTTTTTAAACAAACGGGAAAAAAAATTTGTCATTAATTAATTTTAATGTCAGCACCATATCAAGATTTAGATTTTTTCACGACAATCGATGAAAATGACTTACAAAATTTATCGGGGAAATCAGTTTGTTTGGCAAACGACGACGACGACGATGATAAAAACATAAATGATTTTTGGGATAAAGATCCATCACCACCGACAAACGACGAATACGACGAAGAAGTATTCAAAAATGGCGGCGATAAAGAAGAAGTAGAAGAAGAAGAAGAAGAAGAAGAAATAAAAGTCGAATCAACCGAAAGCGAAAGTGATAAAAAACAATATACAAATTTTCCTAAATGCGGTTTGAAAATTTTACATAAAGAGGTTAGTTCCGGTTTCCGGTAGATCGAGATTATTTTCATTCTCTCTCTCTCTCTCTCTATCGAAAGAAGAGAGAGAATTATAAACGATAATAATAATGATAATAAATGTTTAAGTAGGAAGATAATTCGAGCGATAGATTTTCAACCGCTCTCTGGTCGGGAAGAGATGAATCAACTTCGAGATCCGTTAATTCTTGGAACGTTTCGACAGCCGGTCCCGTTCCCTGGGACGACAGCCAAAAACCCATCGAACGTTTACTTAATTATGCCGATTTGACCTTGACAAAAGAAGAAGAAAATGGTCTTTTGACCGACAGAATTGTCGCCGCTTGTAGTTCTTATTTAACGGATTCTCCCGGGAATAAATGTCGCGTTGTTGCAAAAGTTTCACTTACCAATAAAGTAATTTTTTTCTTTCCTCTCTTCCTCCTACTCCTCATCAACCTTCTTCCTCCTTCCTCCTTCTTCTTTCTCTTTCAGAACCTGAACGACATAAGAGTTTTAAGTTATCATAGATTTTTACAATATGTCGACCTATCATGGAACAATTTAACGGATTTAACACCGCTCGGTTGTATACCTTATCTCATGTATTTGGACGTGTCGCATAATTTAATGGAAGAAGTTCTTCGTTTCCGGGTATGAGTAGTAGTAATAATAATAATAATAATAATTATTATCTTTACGATGACGTTTTTCTTCTTCTTCTTGTCAGCCTCCGTTGAATTTGACATACGTTAATTATTCTTATAATCAAGTTTGGCAAATAGATAACCTTTCTGATTTTTGGTCCCTCACTTATTTGGATCTTTCACATAATAAAATATCTAAAATACAAGGATTGCATAATTTAAAGTGAGTTACCTTCATTTTCATCCTCTCTCCCAAGAACAAACATGGCGGTATTATTATTATTATTATTTCAGGTATTTACGTTATCTCGATTTATCACACAACAAAATAGAAAGATTTGAAAATTTAAATAATTTAAGAATAACGGATTTAAATCTCGAATATAATTTATTATCGAGATTCGAAACGGAAATGGATTTGGGAATACACACGATGCCATATTTAACGAATCTTTATTTAAATAATAATTTAATAAAAGATTTGAAATTTTTAAAGGTTTGTACCTTAAAAAAATTTTTATAATATTAAGAAATCCCGTCTGGAACCGGGTTTTTTAAAAAATTTTCCAACAGAACGTTCACAGTTTAAAAAAATTAGAATTACAAGGAAATGACATAACGGATTTATTACAATTGACAAACATGAAAAAATTAAAAAATTTACGACAGTTGGATTTGTCTAATAATGACGTAAGCAAGCAAAAACCTTACAGGAATTTAATTTTGAGCTTTTTGAGAGAATTAAAATTTTTAGATCAAACGGAAGTTAATATTTCGGAAAGGGTAAGTGAGAGTTTGATAATTAAATTTCAATACGTCATCACCTGATTGATTGATTTGTTTGTTTGTTTGTTTGTTTGTTTCCTCCCCCTGTCTTCTTATGTCGTTTTAAGGTCGCTGCATGCAAACACCATAAATACGACCTACAACTCGAAGCGGCGAGAAACAATGCGAGAATGTTACTTTTGGAACAACTTAATGACGTCACTATGGACATGGACGTTTTACCATACGATCAAGGTCCTTATCCGTTTGTTATACTCGTCGGTCCATCAGCATCATCTAAAAAATCAATCATTTCGTCATTGGCAGAAAAATATCCGGAAAAGGTACGACGGAATTTTCCTAACAATAATAATAATAAACGCAACATTGAAATGATTTTTCCGTTTAAAGATTTACATTGGAAAATTGCACACGACTCGGAAAATTTTAGATGGTGAAAAACATTTGCTCAAACACGTCAATAGAGAAAATTTCAATTGTATGATACAATCTGGAAAATTTTTAAGCGTTTATGAAAATTTAGGACATTTTTACGGTTTTAGTAAGTTTATTATTATTATTATTATTATTCGTAATAATTTTTAATTGATTCTTTTCCCGAAAAAAAAAAGGTAAAAGCGAACTTGGTAATGCCGTGGCAGAACGTAAACTTTGCCTTACCTGTATGGACATGGTAAGCGCTTTGACAATTTACGGTTACGGAATTCGTCCTTTTCTCGTACTCGTCATACCCGAATCTAAAGAAGAACACGTTAAACGATTAAAACTTACCTACGGTCCTGTTATATCCCGTATAGGTGCTGCTTACATGGCACAAAGACAATTAGTTCACAATCACGAGGTAAAAAGTGTTACAAGGTTTAAACGCTCTCATTTTTTTTTTTTTTTTTTTTTAAATTTGGCGGGAAAAAATTTATCATTATTATTATTGTGGTATTCAGAACAACATCAAAAGAGTTGAAAACGTTTTAGATGAATTAATAAGAAAAATGTTTGATAAAATTTATGGAGAAAAATCTGAACCCTATAATGTTGTGGATGATGATTATGACGGACACGATGATAAAATAATGGAAAAAAATGGTTTCCTTGTGTTTTTTTTGTGTTTTGTTTTTTCCAAACATTTTGTTTTTCAACGTTTTAAACTTTTTTTTTATTTTTTTTTTTTCCAGATAATCAAGTTTTGGAAAAGATTTTTCACGCGGATAAAGAAGGAATAAGTACGGAAACACTTTCGGGAAATTCGTCAATTTTTGGCTGCAACGCTCCTGGAAAAAATCAGTAAAGAAATTTCAAATTTTTTTTATGTTTTCTTTCGTAAACGTTTAAACAACTAAAAAATGTTTTTATGTTTTTTATTCCAACAGGAATTCCTTTACCTGTTCTCCAAGTCGATGCGGATTTCAAAAATGCATGGGACGAAATAATAATAATAATAACGAAAAAGAAAACAGCGAAGAATCTCAAAGGTTTACCATTTATTATTATTATTATTATTATTACTATTATTATTATTATTAAATAAATTTTAACTTACTTACTTTTTTAAAAAAATAGTCACGTGACCAGCGAAAATTACGTAGGTGAAATGTCAACGAGTTCGTACAGTGCCGATCTTCAAGTACCAATAAAAGTTGAAATCGGGTCATCAGACCGTAAGTTCCAGACGATTCTCCATAATCTTTTTTTTCCTCCTTCTTCTTTTCTTTTTGTTTAATTTTTTACACACGTTTCTACTGAAGTTAGCACGTATGGAGAAGAAGATCCTTTTGCTGATTTATCCATGCCGTTCGTTAACTGGAGCGAAGTTAATTTAACGGGTTTACAATTGGAAGAAGCTGCGGAAATACTTTGCGAACAATACATAGAAAACGTCATGTCGACGAGAGACGTCTACGAAAATCTTCATCTGGATAATCCTGGACTTTTTTCATTATGCGTAAGTACTTGAAAAAGCGTTTATCTATCCCATTATTCCTGGAAATTAAACTGGAACGTTTTTCTTTCCCCCTCCTTCTTCCCTCTTAAAAACGAGAGCGATCAAAAAAAAAACTTTTATTAAAATTTTAGTTATAATTTTTTTACAAGTGTTTTCAACTTTTAATTACTGTTCTCCCCCCCCATTAATTAATAATAATAATAATAATAATAATAATAATAATAATAATAATAATAATAATAATAATAATAATTTTTATTAAATTTAAAACTTCTCCTAAATATTTTCGGTCGTAATAAATTCGATTAAAATTTTTTTTCTTCACATTATTATTATTATTACTATTTTATCAAAACATAAAAAAAATTTAATTATCGTCTGCTTGCTAATATATTTTATTTTCAAATTTTCAGGTATTTACAAACGACATTGAAAATTCAATAAAATCGATAACGAAATTATTGAAAGAAATTTGGAGAACGACTGGAGAACGACAACCCGTTTACGATTTAACAGAAGACATGGCTTATAAGGTAAGTTAATTATTATTATTATTATTAACATAAAATCCCTCATGGAAAAATTAATGACGTCATTTAATTACAATTTAATTTGTATAAATTTTCTTTGGTTTTTTGTTTTAATGAGAGCACGAATGGAAATTTTTTTTTTTTTTTTTTTTGTTAAACAATTCAACAAAATGGCGGCGGATATGATTTTATAAATTAAAAATTAATTTATTCTCAGGTCATGGTTCCTCAAAAATTAGATCAATTAAAAGAAATATTACAAAATGATTTTCTCTCGTCCGGTGATGGATCCTCAAAATTATTTAATTTTATGGTTCCATCAAGTTCTCCAGCAACGATTTGTAGAGAAATGAAAACAAAAGGATTCGGAGATTCGTTCAACGATTTTTAATTTCCAACGTGTAGTTAATTAATTAATTATTATTATTATTATTGTTATTAATATCGAGTTTACGGTTCAATAAATTTATTAAATTGTTTTTTTTTTTTTTTTCAATCAATCAATCGTATGATCAATCATAGAAGAGGTTAAGGGTCGAAGGTGACAAAAGGGTGGTCGAAAGAAAATCCCATCGTGGAATGGAATAGAAAGATCTAGAAAGAGAGAGAGAGAGAGAGATTCATTGAATTTATCATCACGATCTAATAAAGAAAGTAAAAATTACTTTTTTTTTTTTTTTATTCTTTCACCCCCCCCCCTTCCCCTCAATGATGAGGTTTTCGACTGATGAATGTTTGATTCGTGACTAAACTCGATTGGTTTTTTTTTCTCCCCCCCTTTCTTATCTCTAATAATTTTTTCTTTCCTTTTTCTTCTTTCCTTTTTTTTCTATAATTTTTGTTTATTTTTTTTTATTATTATATTTAATATCGCGTGTGATTTCATATCATCGAATAATTCGTTCGTTCAACACTCATACAACTCACATTGTTCGAAAATAAAGAAATAAATAAAAAAATCGTTTGTCGATCGATCGAACCCCCTCCCCCCTTTTTCCTTATTGCCAAGGTCAAGGTCAAGGTCGAATTAACAAAACGTGAATAATCGATCAATATTTTATCCGGGAAAGCTAAAAAAAAAATTAACGTTTTTTTTTTTTTAAATTAATAATATTTAACACACTCGAACAAATTTCAACGAATGATATTATTATTATTATTATTATAACAAAAACAATAATCCTGGAATTTTTTTAAAATAATAATAATAATGAAGGAAACAGAGAGAGAGAGAGAGAGGGGAAGAGAGGGATTTTTAATAATCCAGTTTTGATTAAAAATTTCAATGTTTTTTTTTTTGTTTGATTAATGTTTAATTATCCAAAATCAAATAACTGGAATAGCTGGAAAAATATTTCATTCGATATGACGTCATCAAATATTATTATTATTATTATTATTATTTTTAAATAAAATTTTCATTTGGATTCACACGTACGAAGATTTTGGGTAAGTGACGACGTCGTTGGACACACACACGCCGGAAATTTGACTTTTTTTTCCCCTCTGAAAATGAGGGGAGGGGCGCGGTAATTAATTACACGTTTTTTTCCACGTGGCTTTAAACTTTTAACGAGTTTATGAAAAGTAACAACAACAACAACAAGAAAAAGTTTATAAAAACATCCTTTTCTCTTAAAAACATTCGATGACCGAAAGAAAAATATTATCATTATCATTATTATTATTATTATTATTATAATACGGTAAAGTAAATTTTATCTAATTCGTTTAAAACAAATAATAATAATAATAGTAATTTAATAAAAAGGAAGAAAAAAAAAAAAAACTTTTCCGATAAAATTAACGTTTTCGATGCGAAAGAAAAAGGAAAAACTTTTTCGGATTTTCTATTTCCCAACGAAAATAATATCGTTTAACCTTTTTTTGTTTTCAGGTACGACGTACTTGACCTTTAAAATTATTATTTAATAATTAATAAATTTTTTTTAACGTTTTTATTATTAATAATCACGAGACACGAACGAATGGAAAATTCGCAAGGGAAATTTTTTAATTTAATGAAAATTTTTTTTTTTTGTTAATAATTTTGCTTAATTAGTTTACTGGAGATTTTGTTTCCCCCGCCTCCTCCCTCCCCCCCAATGATTAAAAAAAACTTCGATATTATTATTTTTTTATTATTAAATTCTTCTGCTATTAAACAAAAAAAAAAAAAAAAATTCAAAATTCTTTTGAGTATTATTGAAAAACGGAAAATTCGTTTTTATTTTTGTTTTTTTTTTTTTTATTACCTAATCAAAATCCTTTTTTTATTCATTTATTACGTAATTTAATTTAATATGAATACGTACGTCCATTGACATTGAAAAATGTTGATGATGATAATAATAATAATAATATGATAAATTTTTTTTTTTTTTTTATTTACATAATTCAAGAATTTTATTATTGAATAAAATTCTTTTTTTTTCTTTCTTTTATGTAAAAACGTGACGATGCAATTTTTGTAATTTGAAAAAATGGGGGGGGGGCAACGAGTCTACGGGGGAATGGGAGAGGGGAGGAGACGGGAAAGGAAATTAATTCCTTTCTCCCTCCTCCTCCTCCTCCTGCTTTGAAAATTCATTAAATAAATATTATTATTTCCATAATAATAATAATAATAAAAAAGTACGTTTTAAAGTTTTTTTTTTTTTTTTAACCGAGTTTGTGTTATAAAATTATTATTATTATTATTATTATTTTTACTAAAACCAATTTCATTATTATTATTATTATTATTATTATTGGTAATAATTCGTTTATGAATGGATAAATTTTTTTTTTTTTAAATTCATTTTTTTATAAAAAAAAAATAATGGATTCCATTTTTTATTGTTATCATAACAATTTTTTTTCTATTTTTTATTTCAACTTCCGGTTTTTTTTTTATAAACAATTTTTTAATTTAATTTCGTTTATTTATTTTATTATTATTATTATTATTATTATTATTATTATTATTATTTATTTTTTTTAAACAAATTTGGCAGAGATCTATAAACTAAAAAAAAAAAAAAACAAATTTAAAAAATTTTTTTTGGCAAATATCAATAAATTATCATCATCATCATCTTCATCACCATCATCATCATCATCATCATCATTATTATTATTATTATTATCATCATCATCATCATCATCATCATCATTATCATCATTCGGATTTTTCATTATAAATTTAAATTTAAATTTTTTTTTTTGATTTCGTCGCGAGAAATAAAAATTTATTTTTTTGAAAAACAAACAAACAAACAAACAAAAGAGTTAGTTACGTTTCGCGAAAGATTTACAAAATTTTAAATTTTTCGTGTTTTTTGTTATCGTGGGAGTCCCTCCCCCTCTCCCTCACGCTTTTTTCCTTGTACTCTACTCCTCCGCCCCCCACCTCGTTTTTCATTGCGAAGCATTGTAAATAAAAAAGAAAATTTTAAATTAATCGCATTTCGTAGTAAAACAAATAAATAAAAAATTAATTATTTCTTTTAAATTACTTTTTTTTTTTTTTTCAAAATGTCGGTGACGTGTTTGTTTGTTTTGTCGGTAAAGCGTCTTCTGCTACCACCTATTAAAAATTTAAATTTTACCCTAAACGTTTTTATATATAATAAATCGGTCGACATTTTGTTTTTTTTTTTTTTTTTTTTTGGCCGTTAATTTATTGGCGGCGACCACTTGAAAATGAAACTTATTTTATTTTTAAAATTATTTTACGATTTAAATTTAATTTATTTATCGATAATAAAACAATAAATACTCGACTATAAGATGATAATAATAATAATAACGATTTTTGCGCCCCTCTCCCTCCCAGTCTGAAAATGTTTTTTTATCATTTTCCAAGTCTTTTAAAAATAATAATAATAATAAATATTTAAAAACGTAATAAACTTTTTTTTTTTTTAACGACACAAATATTATTATTATTATTATCGATTTTCTAAAAAAAAAATTTATTGTTTCGAATCGGGAAAACTTTTATTTACGATAAAAACAAAAAACACGAGAAAAAATTGGGGGGCGGGGTGGGGGGAAGGGAGAAATGTAACGTGTTGCACATTCGATAGAAAAAAAAATTTTTTTCTTTTTTTTCGTTTTGTTGTCGTTATAAAATTCGATTTAAAAAGAAAAAAGTTTTTCGATTATTATCGTATTTGAAATAATAATAATAATAATAATAATAATGATAGTTACATTAATAAAAGGGTCAAAGTTCATTTTAAAAAAAAGAATTTTGATAAACTAAGAAAAAATTTATTATTAGGCAGTTTTACATTTAACTCGTTTTAAATATGTTATGGTTATTCGTGACGTTTTTTTTAGGAAAAAGTTCTGGATTTTTACTACCTTATCCCGTCGATAATGAAATTGTCTGGATAAAAAATGTGACTCCCAAAATAATAATAACACCGTATGTGGAAGCTGGAAACATAAAAGAAGCTTTGGATTTAACATTGGTCGAACCATTAAAAGGAAACATCGTGAGTTATGCCGGATACGTAACAGTGGATAAAAATTGCGATTCGAATTTATTTTTTTGGTTTTTCCCCGGGAAAAATTTAGAAAAATCCCCTGTATCCGTTTGGTTACAGGGAGGACCGGGAGCATCGTCACTTTACGGTCTCCTTACCGAAAACGGTCCCTACGAATTAACACCATCGGGTAAAATAAAAATTCGAAAATATCCCTGGACGGAAATAAGTTCGTATATGTACATAGATAATCCGGTCGGAACCGGTTTCAGTTATGCTAAAAACGAAAGTTGTTATTCGAAAAATCAAAATGAAGTTGGTAGAAATCTTTTGGTGGGTATAAAACAAATATTGAAATTATTTCCGACTCTTTCCTCGAATCCTTTTTACGTTACCGGAGAATCTTATGCTGGAAAATACGTTCCAGCACTCGCGTATGCCATACACAAAGATAATTCCGCCAATGATAAAATTAATCTCAAAGGTTTGGCAATCGGAAACGGTTTGGTCGATCCTTACAATCAACTTATTTATTCTGATTATTTATATCAATTGGGCATCATAGATGATTATGGAAAGGATTACATGAAAAAGGAAGAAGATTCCTGTCGGGATTACATATCTAAAAATAATTGGATACAAGCTTTTCATTGCTTCGATCAACTATTAAACGGAGACATGACAAACGGTTCGACATTTTTTAATAACGTTACAGGTTTCTCTTATTATTTCAATTATTTATATTCCAACGGTCGTCAAGAAGGAGACATAAATAATTTTTTAAACAAACCATACGTGAGTTTCCCCCCTACTCCCCCATCTCTCTCTCTATCTCTTTGTTAAAATTGTTATTTATTTAATTGGTTATCATTCGATTTTACAGGTACGATCGAAAATTCACGTTTGGTGATTCGAAATTTAACGATGGACGATTAGTTGAAAAACATTTAATGGAAGACGTTATGAAATCCGTTAGACCGTGGCTAGAAGAATTACTCGAACATTATAAAGTTTTAATATATAATGGACAATTGGATATAATCGTTGCTTATCCTCTCACAAAAGGATATTTAAATGTAAAATTTTTAATTGATTTAAATAAAAAGAAAATTAATTTAAATTTTTTACAACAAAAAAAAATTGTTACGATTTCAGAAACTTAATTGGTCCGCAGCTGGAGAATATAAAAAAGCACAACGTCACATTTGGCGTGTCGATAATGACGTGGCAGGATACGTTAAATCCGCGGGAAATTTAAAAGAAGTTTTAGTACGTAATGCCGGTCACATGGTGCCAGCAGATCAACCTAAATGGGCATTTGATTTAATATCGAGATTTTTTAACGACAAACCATTTTATTAATTATTTTCTTTTATTACGAGAGTGCCAATAATAATAATAATAATAATAATATTTTCGATTATTTATAAAATTCGTTCGTTACGAAAATTATTAAAATACTCAACTCTACATAATACTATGTAACGAAACAAGAAAATAATAATAATAATAATAAAATTAAACACGCAAAAAATTAATTTTTCAAATGATTTTACGTAATCCATTTTAAAAATAAATTATTTATCCATTCAATTCAAACAAAAATAGAAATTTAAAACTAATTCTGGTGAGAGATTTTCTTTTTCAATTGATTGCAATGCAAGGTTAAGTTTATTATTAGAAAGTTAAAACGATTTTAAATTATCATAAATAAATTTAAAAAAATTACATACCCTAAACTTTCTGCCATTTTTATTTTTTAACCATTTTAATTAATGCCTTCCTGTTGCTTGTTGAATTCAATGGAAAGAAAAATATAGCCTGGGCTTTTATGGTTTTAACATCATCATGACCAAGATTTGAAGGAAATAATTCACATCCTGATGAAGGTTTCACAAAAATAAGGAATATTTAGGGTTTTCCTCCATCTTGTTTTCACTTTTCTCACTCATAATATTTAATTATGTATATATTATAACACCAGCACTTAATATTAACATGTAAACTTGCACAGAGTTCATACTAACAATATACAATGAACAATTTTTAATGGTACACCTTTATTTAAGTATTCCCAAAAAAAAAATCATGACCAGGATGATTTGGAGGAAAGAATTCAAATCCTGATTAACCTTTCCCTAGAACAATAGGTTCTTTCTCCATCTTGTTTTCACTTTTCTCATTTATAATATTTAATTATGTGTATAATTTAACACCTGCACTTAATATTAAAACTTACACAGAGTTCTTACTAACAATATTCAATGGTATACCTTTATGTAAGTATTTCCAAAACACAAAATGATTTAGGTGAACTTGAAACTACACAAAACAATCAGTTAATTTTAACATTACACCCTTTTTTTGTTTGTTTCAAGTTATAAAATATCACATAAAGAACGTAATAAGGATAATGTAATAATTTTATGAATATTACAAACATCAAGTGTGAATCCTGAGTTAATAATAATAATATTTCTTAAATTTCATAATCTCACAGTAAAAGATTTCATTCATATACTCTTTTATAATTGTAATCATTTTTTAATAATAACATTTAATTAAATTACTTAATTCAAATTGTAATAATAATAATAATAATTTCTTATCAAAAAAAGAGAAAAAAAAACAGAGATGAAGTAATAAGATATATTTCAAAATCAGCATTTTTTTTCTTTTTGTATTTCATTTTTTAAGCTTAGCCATTTTTTTTTTTTATCTAGAATGAAATCAAAATTTTAAGATGATTTTTTTATCAATTGTAATGATACGTTTCGAAACGTCTTTTAAAAATTCTTACTACCCACGCTACCTTTTGTCAAATGAAACGGTTAAATTAAAATTTATTTCAAGATAAAATAACTTAAATATAAATAATTGTTTATGAATAAAAACAAAAAAAACACGCAACTACATCACTTTAATCAATTTACATAACATTAACTAACTTATTAAAATGATAAAACGAATAAATTTTTATTAATTTTAAATCCGGGGCTTTGACATAGACGCCATTAAACTATTACATACCCGCGAATGCATTTCATTTTCGTTTTCATTTGCGACAAGTTTCCCTTTTGTGTCTTGTCATCATGACGTAAGAAAAAATGGATGACACATGAAAATAAATGTCAATATAAAATACAAAAAGATTAAATTTAATTAAAAATTTATTTACAGGTGTCGTTTATCAATTAAAAGCAAAAACCCCCCTTTTTTTTACTTTAAATTTATTGAAAAGGAAAATTATTATCATTCGTGCAGTAAAAAATTATTTGTTTACTTCTTTCTTTGTCCCCAAAAATAATTTTGTGAGAATTAAATAAATTTATAAAATTTTCAAAAGATGGAAAAACCGACAACCGAAAAATTAATTTTTGTTATTAAAAAAATATAATAATCTTTTTTGGTAAAATCCAATTTCAAAAAAAATTTCTCTTTTTTTCGTTCTTTTCTTCAAAATAATTAATTAAATTTTTTATTTGAAAAAGATGAATAATATTTTTAATAATATAACGAGACGAGATTTTCTTTTCTTTTTTTAATTCGTTACAATTAACTAATGATTAAAATATATATATTTTTATTTTTTTTTTGTTTGACCTAATTCTATAAATAAATATTTTATTTAATTTATTATAAAGGACACGAAAAATACGCATAAATAAATAAATAAATTGTTACGCCAATACGAAAATAACAAAATATTATTATTATTATTATTTTAATTAATTAATATTTAAATTGTTTATGACAAAAGAATTTGTAGTAGGAATTTATTAAAAAAACAATCGGTGAAAAAAATGGCGGGAATAATAAAAAAAAAAATTTTAAAAGGCGGGGAAATTTGTCGTGGTTAAGCTTTCAAATGGCTCAGTATCTGTTTGTCTGTTGTTCGATTCGCACGGTCGCGTCGGTTTTTTTTTTTTTTTATTTCTCTTATTAATTTTATCTCATAAATCGTTTTGTGTTATTTCGCAAGAATTTATTTATCTTTTTTTTTTTTTTTTACGTTTGTTTATTTAATTAATAATTTATTAAACGCACGTTATTGAAATGTGACAATTAAACATTTACACATAGATTTATTTAAAGATTACATTTAATAAAACTATTAAAAGTTGATTTGGTTTATTTAACGATAAGCATCGTTTGGCGCGAATTTTTTTTTTTTTTTTTTTTTTTAACGTTAATTACATGTACAATAATGACAAATCCCGCGTGTGCGTGCGTGCGTGCGTGCGTGTGTTTAATATAATTTTTATTATAATAATTTGAATATGGGGTAAAAACATGTGCGGTCACCATAATGAAAAATTTTGATTGTTACGTCACAAAGTTACATAAAAGAAAAAAAATGAATCGTGTACATAAGCTAAACATAATGATCTGGTATTAATTAATTTAAGGTGAGTAAAAAAGAAACTTTGTCGTTCTAGAAAAAAAAAGAACATGAGTGACACTTTTAATAATAATAATGATTATAAAAGGTAATAAATAAATAAATATATATATATATATATATATATATATATATATATATATATATATATATATATATATATATATATATATATATATATATATATATATAAATTTTTTTTTATTTTCACGAGCCATCAATCAAGTACAAACAGACATGGAAATTCTTATAAATATTCGTTTGTAAAAAAGAAAAATTGTTTTTTTTTCTCTCTCTCTCTCTCTCTCTCTTTTGTCGTTTGTATTTTATTAAATGAATTTTAAAGAATTTACGACTTATATATATATTTTTGAAAATTTATAAAAAAAAACGAATTTTTTGACGTAAAAATATTTTTTTTTTTGGTAATTTTCGGTTAAATGTAATTGCGAGGCGGCCGCCATTTTTTTTTTTTTTTTTAATAAACGAGTGAAAAATAATTTCACGGGATTTTTGTTAATTTCCGCTTTTTTTTTGCTTTTGGTTCACACCGAAATTTTTTTTTTTGGCACGTTTAACTTTTAATAAATATTTAAATTACAATTTATTTATCACGTAAAAATAATAATAATAATAATAAAGGTTTTGGGGTCGTAAAAAAAAAAAAAAAAGCACAGCGGTTGGGATATAAGAAAAAATTAAAAATCGGAAAAATAAATGAAATTTAAGGACCGTAACGGAAGCGTTTATTTACGACAGCTCACACAAAATGACCGAGAAATAAAAAAAAAAATATATTGCGGGGGGGGGGCAGGGAAAAGTGTGGCTGCCGAGAGATAGAGAGAAACTGGGGGGACACACACACAAAAAAAAAAAAAAATTAATCGTCGCGTTTAATTTTCTGTTTAGTTCGACGAACGTCGTTCTGCCAAATGCTCGAAAAACGAATGCAATTATTATTATTATTATGTGTAAATTTTTTTTTTTTTGGCAAATTTAACGGGAAAATTACGGGGGGGGGGGAAGTGCAGAAATCGATGTTAGACACGTTGTACACAACGACAAAGATGATGAGATGACACACGCGAGATTCAAAAAAAAAAAAAAAAGATGACGTATAAGTACGAAACCCATCCAAAATTATTATTATTATTATTATTATTATTACTCGAAAACTTAATTAAAGACACCGACAGTTAGGTTTTTTAATAATCAGGTACTATGAATTATCACTCACCACGACACAAAAGTTAATGAATGAATATATGAATGAAAAAAAAAAAAAGACAAAAAGCCAAACCTGAAAATTAATAATAATAATAATAGTAATAATGACGACAATAATTTTTTTTTTTTTTTTAAAAAGAAATCAATTCAAGTGTTGTTTAATTAAATTAATGACGTCACTTAATAAAGTATTTAAAAGCTCGATGAAAGAAAATAAAAATAAATAAAAAGCAGAAGATGTAAATTAATGCCATTTCCCAAGAAGATGTAAATAAAAACAAAACAAACGTTTTCAATCACTTTTTCCTAATCGGATTAATTAATTAATTTAAATTTTAAAAAAAATTTGTTTGTCGTCGTTTGTCGTCGTTTGTATTCATCGAACATGTATCAGGTGTTAATTATTATTATTATTATTATATCGTGTTATTTATTACACGCACACGCACGCGGCGGACAGTATTAGTAAAAAAAAAAAAGGATCGATGCATGTGTGAAAATGCGTGTGAATTTTCCATTTTCCGTTCATGTTTTTCTTCTTTTTTTTTTTTTTACATAATAAATAAATTTACCGGAGGGTAAAATTTCATTTTCAAACCACAGCCAGTTTTAAACCGATTAATTTTAGAAAACAATGATGATGATGATAATGATGTGTTAACGGTTCACCGATTTAACGGTTTTTTTTTTTTTCTGTTTTGTTTACTCTATGACGTTTTTCGATTTGTTATGAGTATTTTTCGAATTGTAAGACATCTTTGTTTTTTTTTTTTTGTTTAAAAATGAAATATCCTTGAGTTTTAAATATACATACATAAATTTTTTAAGGGCACTCAACAGGAAATGATAACGTGTTTTAATAATAATAATAATAACAAATAATTAAATAAAAATAAACTTTTAAAATTTATTGTATAGTTTTTGGCGCGAGTTTATACACACACACACACAAACAATAAACTTAATATTTTATTAACTTTATAAAAGAAATTCGTAATACGATTTTTAAATATGTAAACAATTGTGATCGATTTTGATTCTAGTTACACGACACTTTTTTTTTGTTTTGTTTTCCTTTCTTATCATTGATTTTGGTTTGTCACTTGATTTTTTAACCAAGAGAAATAAATTTTTTTTAAAATCTTTGTTGTTTAACGAACGAGTTAAAATTTTATTATTATTATCATTATTATTATTATTATTATCATCGTAACAATTTCTTAATTACGATTATTTGATTGGAAGGAATAAATAAGATTTAAATATTTACAAAATCGTAATTAAAAAAAAAAAAAAAAAGCTCGCTTTTCGCGACTTTTCTCACAAAAGTTTTTGAAAATTCGAAGGAAAATTTGCCTCCGAGCGATTATTCCTGCGGTAGGATTCTCTAAGTTAGTTCACATCTTTGAAATATATCATTTCCGGTTTTACTTACTCACCACATCCGGTAGATCGACTTTCGAATTTCTTCGACTCTTTATTTCGAAAAATGATTTCAGATTTTGTCGAAAAAATATCAATTGGGATGATTTTCGTAACGGGATTCGGGGTCGATTGTCCCGCCCCCCATTTTTGAGACACTCGGATATTGATTGATTGATTGATTGATTATCAATCAATCATTTCCGTTTGTCTCTGTTACTGACGAATTCGGATCATTTTTTTTTTTTTTTAATTGAGATGCTTGTGTGTTTTCTCATACCCTCCCATCCTTTACGTGGCGTGGTATCGTTTACGTAACTTTTTTTTTTTTTCATTTATTTTCCTTTGGAAAAATTGATGAAAATTTTTTTGCTCTTTTTCACAAATCTGGCATTTTTCCATTTCATTCCATTCCATTTTTTTTTTTTTTTTTTTTTATCTTTTTCCTCAATATGTTTTTCTATTTTTAGAATATTGTTCGTGATTTTATCTTCGATCTTTGTTACTCTTTAGAATGAGATGTTTTTTTTTTAAGAGTCCAAATATTTTCCCTTTTCTTCTGCTTCTTGTCAAGGGCGTTGGGTAAAAAAAAAATTTTTTTTTTCCTTTCCAGAATTTTCCGCTAACCGTTTCTCTCTTTCTCTCTCTCTCTCTCTCTCTCTGCCTCTCTCTCTTGTTTTTTAGGTTTAGATAAATTAGTATTTCCCCCCCCCCCTTTTTTTTGTATTTAATAAACGAGGTCAAACCGTCGTTCGTTTTTTATTTCATTCATTAACCTCGTGGTGACGTCATTTAAACCTCTTCAAAATATTCTTTTTTTTATTAAAATTTAGTTAATAGTTTAATAAATGAAGTTATTAACATCTTTTTATTTATTTATTTATTAATTAATTAGGGGAAAAAATAAAGTTCAATTATGGATGGAAATCAACGTTAAAAATTATTAATTTTTTTTAAATAAAAAAAAAAACAATAAGTTAATTAATTAATAATAATAATGATGACGCCAATTTGAATTTATTATTATTATTATTTATAATTTTTATGACTTTGAGGGGGGGAAATGGTCGAGGGGAGGAGGGGGGAAAGGTTAACGTCATCATCGAGTTTTTTTCCTTTTTTTTTCCTTTTTTTCCTTTTTGGTTACCTTGAAAAAAACGAGGGCAAGAGAATTTTCACTTTGACTTTGACGAAATCAACCTGGAGGAAAATAATGAGGAGTCGATGGGGGGTGAAGAACACACAAAAGAAAAAAAATAACAAGAGTAAAGATCGGAAAATTTTTTTTTTTTTTCCTTCTAAAAAATCTTTTGTTAATATCACGTGGATCGAAAAAGGGTGAAAACAAAGTAATAATAATAATAATAATAATAATAATAATAATAATAATAATAATAATAATAATAATAATATTAATATTTAATAGGGAAAAATGATAAGAAGGGATTCATGATGATATCAAATCAATTATTAATTTTTTCAAAAAAAAAAAAAAGAAAATCTAACGTTTTAATTTTTTCTTTTATTTTTTTTCGATTCGTTTCCTTTAATAATAATAATAATAATAATAATAATAATAATAATGAAAAGGGGAAAACTGCTCAATTTAATAATTTTTCATATTTATTAAAAAAAAAGAAAAACTTTTCTCATAACTTTTTTTTAATTTTCCACGCCTTGTCCTTTTTCCCCCCCCCCCTTTTTTTTTATATTTTTTTTCTTTTTCAAGTTTTCCATTTCGAATTTTTCCGACAATTTCAACTACTCTATTATTATTATTATTATTATTATTATTATTATTATTATTATTATTATTATTGTTGTTGTTGTTTTTCATTATTAAAAAAACAATGGGAGAGAAGACAAGTTTTGTTTTTACATCATCATCATCAAATTTTTTTTATTATTCATTTAAAAAGGAAAAAATAATTTATAAATTATTTATTTAGGAAAATGACGAAAAAAAAAGGAAAAGTAAAAAATAATAATAATGATAATAAAGTCGGAAAAATGATAAAAAGAAAATCATTGTTTTTTTAATTAAACAGTACGAAGCTTTTTTATGTACATATAAACAAAGCTCTCTCTCTTTTCTCTATTTTTGACTTTTTACATTTATAATTTTTTAATCATAAAATATTATTCATAATCCCTCCCCCCCTCTCTCTCTTTATTCATTCATATTTCTTGCGAATATTATTTTTTTATCATTAATATAAAAAAAAAAAAAAAAATTAACAAATATGTCGGTATTAAAGCTAATGCCGTAAAAAAAAAAAAATTAATAAAAACAACAACGACGACAACAACAACAACAACAACAACAACCGGAGTAAAATATTTAATATTTAAAAAAAAAGGAGAGAGAGAGAGAGAAAAAAAGAATAAAATAATGAAATGATGACACTAATGACAAAATGAAAAAAAAAACAGTTTTTTTATATTATTATTAGTATTATTATTATTATTATTATTATTATTATTATTATTATTATTATTATTATTAGTATTAGTATTAGTATTAGTATTAGTATTATTATTATTATTATTATTATTATTATTATTATTATTATTATTAAAAATAAGGGAAATTTTCCGTTTTTTCTTTTTCCCCATCGTCCGCCATTTAAAAATTTTCTTTTTTTTTTTTTTTTTTTTTTTAGATAGAATATTGTATGATGTAAATTAAATGCCAAGGGGTCTTTTCTCTCTCTCTCTCTCTCTTTCTCTCTCTTTTCATTTCATTTTCTACGTTAATGGCAAATGATTTATTTTTTATACTTTCCCACTCTCCCCCCCCTCCGTTTTTTTTCTTTAACATTGTAAATCAATACTAAAACAAGTTTTTCAAAATTAAATTTTAGTTTAAATTTTTTTTTTTAAATAAAAAGGAAAAATCAATTTGGAAAATTCATAAAGGAGAAAAAAAGTGGGGGGGGGGAAAGGAAAAACGAAAATAAATCGAATGTTTATTATTATAACAGTTTTGAAATCGGACGATTAACGTTAATAAAAACTTACGTAGGAATTTTCATTTTCGGAAAATTGTTTCCACCCCCCCCTTTTTTTTTCCTTTTTTTTAAAAAATGTTTACTCTTGAAATTTTTTAATGCACTTTAAGTAATGCGATACTACAATCATCCAGTTCGAAAATAAACAGAAGAAAAAAAAAAAAAAAAAAATTTTTTTAAAAGCTCCTATAAAACTTTTCTTTTTTTGAATTTGGTCATTTTGTCTAAACTTAAAGTTTAAAAAATTAAAAAAAAATTAAAAATTTCTTGGTGACAGGTTTTTTTTTTTTTTTTAATACGACAGGGAAAATCTTTGTTTCACGCCTACAAAAAGGAAAAAAGGAAAAAAAAGTTTAATTTTGAAAAAAAAATTAAATTAAAAATTTTTTTTTTGGATAAAATTTACTATGCAAAAAAAAGGAAAAAGGAAAAAGAAAATTTAATCATGGAAAGTGTTAGTTTTTTAAATTTGCGCATGCGCGCAAAAAAAAAGAAAAATTCATTTGTCAAAAGTCAAACTTTTAAATTTAAAATTTTTACCTTTTTTTTCCTTTTTTTTCTTTTTAAACTTAGAAATGATAAAGTAAATGTTTGGTTAAAAAAAAAAAAATAATTAAAATAGTTTTGTAATTAATTTTATTATTATTATTATTATTATTTGTTTTTAAGATGGAGACGACGACGACGATGATAAATTAAAACAAAACGTACGCGCGAGAGAGTAAAAGAATAATAAATGGTGGATACGTCAAAATGAACGTGATAACGGAAAATGATAATAATAATTGGGGACAAGTCGTCATAGAGAAAATAAACGATACCGTTGAAGAAAATTTAACGGAATTCATGGAAGAAACAACGACGCAAGTGACGAAACCTTACAGAGATCCACTTTACGTCGTAGTACCGATAACCGTCATATACGCCGCCATTTTTCTCACGGGTATCGTCGGTAACATAAGCACGTGCGTCGTCATAGCACGAAACAAACACATGCACACGGCGACGAATTATTACCTTTTCAGTTTGGCAATATCGGATTTACTACTGCTCGTGTCGGGACTTCCGCCGGAAGTTTTTTTCATGTGGCGAAAGCATTCCTACGTTTTCGGCGAGACGTTTTGCGTTTTGCAAAGTTTCGCGGCGGAAACGTCCGCGAACGCGACGGTATTGACGATAACAGCATTCACGATCGAACGCTACGTCGCCATTTGTCATCCCTTTCAGTCGCACACACTTTCGAAACTTTCGAGAGCCGTGAAATTCGTGATCGCGATTTGGGTGTCCGCTCTCGGTTTGGCCATACCACAAGCCATACAATATGGCGTCGTCACGGTCATCGGGAATTCAGGTTCGATTGAATCTTATTGCACTTTGAAAAAAGTTCTCATTCCAAATGCTTTCCTCATATCGATATGTGTTTTCTTCGTCGTTCCCATGACAGTGATAACCGTTTTGTACGTTTTGATCGGTTTGAAATTAAGAAGATCGAGATTGATAACGGTCAAACGACGTCCTTCGACGCCAAGGAGCGAACTGTCGAAACCTAGAACGTCGACACCACAAAGTCACGTGATTAGAATGTTGGGTAAGTTTAATTTTGATTTGTTTATTCGTGTCAAAGGTGACGACATGATTTTACCGGGGAAAATCCTAAACGTGAAAATGTTTTTGTTTATTTATAATCTGATTTTTCTTTCTTTTTTTTTTTTTTTTCAAAGCAGACGACGGAAAAACTTTTTTCATTTAAAATTTAAAATTTGAATTTTGTTTCATCTTTTTTTTTTTTTTAACATCACTACCATGTTTATTTTTTTTCTTTTCCTTTGTTTGTTCGTTTTATTTATTTTTTCTTTTTTCCTTTTCTCTCTCTCTCTCTCATCTTTCTTATTTGTCTTTCTTATTTTTTTTAATTTCATTTCTTTTTGACGATAATTAATCGTTTCCAAAGTCGATTTTTTTTTTGTCTTCTTCTAAAGTCATTTTTTTTGTTATTAACATTTTTGTCGAATATTTCTTTTTTTTTTAAACAAATGATGCGGTTTGAATTTGAAATTTTATTTATTTTATTTTTTCACCCTTTAAAGTTCAAATTATTATTATTTTGTTTTCTAGAGTATTTTAAATAACATTCCGTGAGAAAATAAATATTAGAGTGGGAATAAAAAATAAAATATTCAGAATTCTCCGCGACGCCATGAAACAAAAAATGGGGGGGAGAGAAGGGGAAAACAAAAATTTTTTTAAAGATATTTTTCGTGCCTTCTTATAGGGTCGTACGTTCAGTCATTCATTCATTCATTCATTCAAATCACCTTGTTGCTTTTCTTTTCCCCAAGCCCACCGCCGATTATTAAAAATTGATCAGATCGTTGACGCCATTTTGAATATCCAACCATTAGCAAAATTTTTATTACGCTAATAAACTCATGTTTTGTAATTTTTTTAAAGCTTTGGTGCCCGTTAAATTTAAATGTTGGAAATGTTTTGAAAGGCGCCATTTGTTATTCATTTTTTTTTTTTTTTTTTTGGGTTTATGCTCGAAACGATCAAATTCAGACAAACGAAATTAATTATTATTATTTTTTTGTTAAAATCAAATTAATTATTAGGCGCCCTGGCGAGAGGGGGGCTGCGGTGGCACGCACATTTCCAACAACCTCCTCCTGTTTTCCCTCTCCCCAACAATCCCAGGAAAAATAAATAAAAAACCTTGGAGAGATAATGTCAGGTTATTATTATTATTATTATTATATATTTTCGAGACGTTTAAATAATAATAATAAGGAGGAGGAGGATAAAAAAGCAGGAAGAAAAAAATTTATAAACAATTTAAATGATTAGAAAACGTCGAGAGTTAATAAAAAGGAAACGCAACAATCATCATCATCATCATCATCGAGAAAATTTTTTTTTTTTTTTAACGTTAAGAAGGCAAAAAAAAAAAAAAGGTCGCGAAAAGGTCACGTGATCCCGTTGATCATTTTGAACGAATCAAAGTAATTTAAATCAAATTTAATTTAATGGTTGCGAGAGAGAGAGAGAGAAAATTTCTTTTTGTTTTATTTCGATTTTTAACGATGGCAAAAAAAAAATTTGGTTTTGTTTTTCACGCGTAAAAAAAAAAAATCCGCGTTCGGGTTTCAAAACTACAAAAAAAAAAAAAAAAGAAAAATGGCGACTTCATAAAAAGAAAAGTTTTTTGTTCTGTTTCAAAACTTTTCCCCAATATTTTTCATTTTTTTTTTTTTCGCCACATTTATTATTTATATCTTTTTTTTTGGGGGGGGGGGGGCGAGCTCATCATCATCATCATCATCATCATCATCATCATCATTACGTTTTTTTTTTTTTGTCTTCTGCTTTATTTTTTTTTTATATAAAAGATTATTTAGTAACAAAAAAAAAAAAAAAAAAGGAAAAAAAGGAAAAACTTCAATTACAATAATTTATTTTTGTTTTTTTTTTTTTCAATGTCGTCTTTGACATTTCTTCTTCTTCTTTTTCTTATAAATTTAACCATTAGTGGTGGAAAAACTTTTTCCTTTTAACGAGGGAAAAAAAAATTATTTTTAACAAAGGAAAAAAAAAGGAAAAAAAGGAAAATTTTTTTTTGCAAATTACAAAAAAACGTTTTAAAATGAAAATGGGGGTGAAGGAGGGAGGGGGAAGGGAAACGAATTAAAAATATATGTAATAAATTTTTTAACCGCAACGGTAGGAAAATTTTTAAACGTTAAAATAATAATAATAATAATAATAATAATAATAATAATAATAATAATAATAATAATAATAATAATAATAATAATAATAATAATAATCACCTGACGACGACGCTTTAAACCGGAATTTAAATAAAAATTTTTTATTTTTTTATTTTTTTTAATATTAAAAAACGTTTTTCGATTTGTGTTTTAATGAGTGTTAAGAATTTTGTCGCCACTTTTTATATACGCGACATTTTTTTTTTTTACGACAAAATCGACATCATCATTTCCTTTGTTCTATTTTTTAAAAAAGAAAAAATTGTAAACTGAACGGAATCGATTTTTTTTTTTTTTTAATTTAATTTTTCACTCACGAATCGCGACCTCCTATAATATTTTTTTTATTTATCGCGAAGGCTTTGAAATTTTTTGTTTTTGTTTTTTTTTTTTTTGCAATCGACGAAAATGAGGGGGAAAAAATTTATTGACCCCAAAATGTTTTTGCAATTTTTTTTTCGTTAATTAATGTTTGTTTGTTAAATAATATTATTAATCGTTAATGACTTTTTCTTAGTTTTTTAATTTACTTAAAGAAAGGAAAATTTCAAGGATGCCTTTTTTTTTTTTTTTTATAAAATAAACCTTTTTTTGGGGAGAAATCTATAAAGTAAAAATTTTTCTATCTTATTGTGAAATCCCCCATTAAGTTAATTTGTTCTATCCAAGTTAAAAAAATTTTTTTTTTATTAACTTTTCTCGTAATCGAGTTTTAAATAATAATTGGAAAACACAAAACCAAATAATAATTCGATTCCTCATCCCCCCCACCAAAAAGAAATGAAAAGACGGGAAAATGAGGAGGAAAAAGGTTGACGGTAAACAAACCCGACAAAAATTGTGACATAAAAAAGAAAACTCATTCGAAATGGGGGAAAGTTTCCCGAAATGAAAAAAAAAAAAAAAAAAAAAAAAAAAAAAACGGAGTGTAAATTTTTAAATGCGACAAAGGTTTTGAAATCGGTTTAAAATTTTTCCTTTTTTCCTTTTTTCAAAAATTAATTAATTGATTGTTAATAATTTAAAAAAATTTAATTCAATTCAAGGAAAAAAAATTTTTTAATTTTAAAAAAAAAAGGAAAATTTTCAAGGTTTTATCATTGAATTTTTCCTTTTTTTCCCCCCTTTTTTTTTTTTATTTCGTCGAAAAAGTAAAAAAAGAAGAAGGAAAAAGAAAAAAATGTCGATTTTTGTTTCTTCTTTTTTCAAAAAAAAAAAAAAAAATTATTATTATTTTAATATCACTTTTCTTTCGGGTAGTGGGGAGGGAGCAGAGGTGGGGGTTCATTCAAAGGAGAAATAAATATGTAAAAGGAGGAGAGAAAATTCATCTTCTAGTGTAATTTAACCGGAAAAGAAATAATTAAATTATTTCTTCCGGTTTTCTCTTATTTTTTTTTCGTACGTTTTCACTTCCGGCGTTCGTATTTAATATAAAATGAAAAATATTTTAATATATTTTATTTTAATTTTCTTCCGTTTAACACGTAGTAATAATAATAATAATAATAATAATAATAATTCTCATTTTTGTTCTTTAAATTTAATAATTACATTTTTTTTTTTTTTTTTTTGTGAAAAATTACACGCTCACGTACGCGTAAATGTTTTTTAAAACTTTTATTTTTTAAATGAATTTTATTATTTTACTCGTAATGTTAATAATATAAACGTAAACCCGCAGAGTTTTTGATGGAAAATTAAAATTTTCTTTACGGGGAATCCCTCCTTCCCACCCCCCGTCCACCCGCACGAACGCAAAAAGCACGACAAAAAAAAAAATCGTTAAAAATTTATTCAAATCGTTTGAGTGTTAATAATCGGATTGTTTTCTTTTTCCTTTTTTTTTTTTTTTTATAAAAAAATGACGAATTTTTTAATTTTAAATTAAAATTTTCCTTTTTTTTTTTTTTTTGTTCTTCTGACACGTTCTTCTTTAAACCCAAAAAAAAAAAAATTTTAAAAGTTTTCGATGAAAAGTGAAAAGAAAAAAAAAAAAAGAAAACATTACCCCGCCATTTTCTAGTCATTTATTTAAGTAAAATAAATTTCGTGAGATTTTTTTTTTTTTTTTTTTTTCATTCGATCACCGCCTTCTACAAGTTTTCCACTAGGAGAGTTCGAATCGAGAGTGAGAAATAAAAAAAAAAAAAAATTTTTTTTAAGGGAACGGGAGAGGATTAAAGGATCAAGTTTAGTATGAAGGCGGATTAAATGTTGAAAAGTTTTTGAAATAAAAGGAAAAAAGATGAGAAAGCGGGGGGGGGGGGAGGGCGAACGGGGAAAAAAAGAAATTTTTTTTATGTCATATTTTTTCGTTATTTTTATTTTTTGGGGGGATGGGAGTGAAAGGGAGGGGAGGGGACGTTAAAAAATATCGAAATTGAAATTTTTCCGCGTGAGTTGGAAAACACGACGAGAAAATGTAGTTTGTTGGGTTTACGTAATGAAAGAGAATAAAAAAAGAAAAACAAAACAATAATTTTATTTTTACTCGGTGGGAATATTGTCGCACAAATGATAAAAAAAAATTGTCGCACAAATGACAATTAGGTAAGCGACCCGAACGTTAAACTTTCCATTTTTTTTTTCGAAAACAAAACCAGATTTTTTTTGATTCGTACGTTTTAGAAAATTTTTTTTAATGCCATTGTATATCATCACGATCATGATCACAATCGACCGAAAAAAAAAAAGATTTCGAAACCGGAAATGAAAGTTTTTCTCTCGCTTGTTTCCGGTTAAAAAAAAAAAAAATAAAAAAAATTTTTTTTCATCGTCATCATCGCGTGGTCATCAATCATTTCGAAATGAAAATACA